GCTGAAATACTAAACAACCTGCTTCCATGGCCGAGATACAGGGCGCCCATATTATAAGGTAAGGTTATAAAACCACCATTTAAGATCATTTTAGTGAAAGTTTCATGTTCCTATCTCATAGAATTTAAGAACAATGATGAATAAATAATTTTCGAGCAAAATTTAAATGGCCGGCTGAATATATTACCGCAGGAGCCGCGGCCGCGGAATTTAAATGACCACGTCAAAGGGTTAAGGAATCATTCAGCGCTTGTCTGAAGGACTGAGAAAAACTACAGAAAGACTCAGTCAAGACAGTCAAGCCAGGAACCTTGCAAATACAGGTCTGAAGCATTACCATTTGAGCCAGCTCGCTCAGTAAACCAGCATTCAGGATCCTTTTCTAAATCACTCATACGCCATTAAGGTGATTGTATGGACACTATCATCTAAATTAATTTAAATAGCCTTTCATCTATGTTAGGTAGAGAAGCAATTCACTATGGTCTACTGCATTAGGTAGGTATCAAATTTAGTGCTCAACACAATCACATGAACAGCACATGCTCTATGTTCCTGGGGCACACGCTAGTGTAGTTGGTTGAGGCTCTTTGCTGCAAGTCATAACGTCGCTGGTTCAATTCCCGATGAGGTGAATTTTTTCAATTTCCTAATACTTCCACCTGCATTATGGTTCTGGGGTGGACTCAGACTCTTAACAAAAATGAGTACCTGGAATATTCCTGGGGGGTAAAATGCGACCAGCATGTAAGGCCATCTGTGAGCTGATTATCTAGAAGATGTGGGAGCCTCGACATCTCACAACCCTCTGGTCCTCCATAGCCTGTTACAGGGATAGCTTTGCTTTTTTTTATGATCTGAGTTCCTGCATCGGCTACTTCAAGGACTGGCCATGCACTGCAAGCCTTACACATTACAGACACCATACATAGATAATTTGTCTGGTGATGAACTTATTACATATTGAATGCCTTCATTAGACTTATAAATAAACCTAGATTGGGCAGTGACAGAATCTGACAGCAAAGACAGATTCCCATTAAAATCACTCTGGTGGGAATGTGATGAACTATAAGTTTGTTCAAATGTAAGGGGAAGCCTACCCATATTTTCAGGACAATGATTATGCAACTCACATGCATAGGGTTTATTTGTTTTTTAGGTGAAGATGCTACTAGTGGTGGATACTTCTGTGCTGCCTCATGTGCAATACGCTTCTTTACAGGTATATCTTCTTCCTTCACAGGCTCTTCAATTTTAATGGCTTTCTGTAACCAAATAAAATGGTTAAACACAATATCTCTCAGTGTAAAATAACATTCTATTTACATGGCAAAACTGTGAGCATCCATATATTCTCATTTATCTATAAACCTTTACAGTCTGTTTCATAACTACAAGAATATGTCAAACAGTAACTCTTCTAGGTAATATTTAAAACATTTTTTTATATATAATAGTAAATGCCTTCCAATACAAAAGCACAGTTAAAACAAACTCTGTGGCCTTACTCCGCAAGTAAACTATACTGACCAAGCGACTGCCACTTGTCGGCAAAGTTAATGCCAACTTTAGTGGATAGAGGGTGTCACATGGTAAGTGTGACGAATCCCCGCAGTCGTTAATTTCGGTTTTATAGACTGGGGCCACTACTTTTCCATTCAAGTAGCTCCTCAATTATCCTCATGAGACTAAGTGGACCCCGTTCCAGACCCACTACTTCACAGAAAATCTGACAGCACCGGGAATCGAACTCAGGACCTCTGGATCTGTAGCCAGGAACTCTGACCACTAGACCACAGAGACGGTCAACAAAAGCACAATTGCTGACCATATTAAGGAATTTCATCAATTTTATTTGATATATTTTCTATCTTCTGCAAGTAATTGTCTTCCTTTAGTTACTGAAAATTGAATATGGTGGCTATATCTTAATGAAGTGATGTTTACCTCAATTCTTGCATTAAATTTCTTATGCTTTACAGAAGAATATGATGTGCTCACTTAATGTATTTACAGGTACCTTGCATACTTTTGTGGGAGGTCGCATGTATGTAGAGACAACCACTTGTTGAACTGTTCTATAAATATTTATTATAGTTGCACAGTATACAAAGACGAATTTGAAGCACTGAAGGTCGTTCACTGAGGACTAATAATATAACAGCAATAGTGGACACCGTAACACCTTGAACACTGTACTGGAACGGAATTATCAACTGGAACTAAAAACTCTGAAAAGTCAAAGTCAAAGTCACATTGCAACTGATGGCCAGTCAGTCATGGTGTCGAGCCCAATCTGGGGCTCATGACCAGATATTTATTACTGTTTGACAGTTTCGGTCTTGTTATTGTGCGGCGCCCTCTCTGAGGAGAGGCCTGGTCTGTCTTTTGTCAGAGTCATTGTCTCCAGTAGTAAATTATTTGTCATAATGTAAATGATACTGACATTTTATATGTTAAACATGTGAATCAATGTATATAAATATATACAGGGCCTCTATCAGTCCAGGCTCAGTACAGCAGTAGTACACTATCTCTAGTAGTTCCACTATAACGGCAGTCTAGTCATTTGAATGGTCATATGCTTGACCACCGCCAAGTTTAAGCCTCTTATACTTTCTAGTTCAGGCTTCACCTTGTGCAATATTGTGAACACTTTCATTATCATGATTTTGTAACATTTCTGCTTGTTGCCTGCATAATTTTGTTATATAATTTTGAAAGCCATATGTAAATTGGGTCATTGGCCTGACTGACTTCCTGACGCAATTAACTGCCATTTACATGCTGGATCCGTGGTTGCTTGCCACAATTTTCACAGCCTCTGCTTTAAAAACTCCCGAAGTCAAAGTCATATTGCAACTGACGATCAGTCAGTCAGTAAGTCTTGGTATCCAGCACCCTCCTTGGGCTCATGACCAGATATTTATTACTCCTTGACAGTTACGGTCTTGTTTCTGTGGGGTGCTCTCTCTAACGAGAAGATGGGTCTGTCTTTTGTATATGCTGCTGGCCCTTGCCAGTGCAGTGTTTCTTGGGTCCTAGTCCCTTGGGACTTGCAACCATATTTTACTGTCTCACATTTGATATTTCCCTTTTCGTCGTCTCCTACGACTCGCAGGGTCACGGTGGAGGTATTCGACCCCACCTCTGCACAGGGGTAAAAACTCCCACTCAATGTATCTCCTTATTTAACCTTGAGTCAGACCTATAGAAAACGTGTCACTGTCTGTATTGTTGTAGGCTTTACCTAGCACTGGCTGTTTACTCAGCCGCTGCTAAGCAGCAGAAGGTTCCTAGCTTGTCAATGGCTAGCATTCAATCCACTGCGGGTGGTTCCCACAGTCACATATTGTTGTAGACTTTATTTAGCAACAACTGTTTACTTGCTGTTGCTAAGCAATGATACTTGAGTTGTCACTGTAATGTTTGCTTGAATGTGATCAGTTCCCACACTTCTGTTTCAGATATCTCTATTCATTCAGACTGTGATACGGTAAAATGAATTATGGTTAAATGGTAAATTCAGATTTTGAGCATGTCAATATTTGGAAAAACAGTTTATTATTTTTAACAAATGTGTTAAGCTTAGAAACTCTAATTTTTTAACAGCTCTGCCTGTTCCTACAGCTGACAAGAATGTAATATAAGCTATGTACTGCAGTTCCTAAGTTAAAATTGCAATAAAATATTAATGTTTTTTTTTAGTTGTTTTCAGCATTTTTCTAAGGAAGGAAAAAAGCTACTAAAACATGATCCAGAACAAATGCAAAATGGTCTTAAAGCAGAAAAAATTAAGGAAAATCCTTACAGAGCAAATATTTAAAAATAAAAAACTACAGGATGGGTATTCGTAATGTACCTGATGCAAACTGAAAAGGCATTTCAGTGAAAAGGATTCTTACCTACATGCAAAGCTGGAAGTTCAACAACATCCAACAAAATAACGAAACCTGAATCTGGGTTACATCATAAATGTGGCAAGACTACCATGCCAAAAAAAACTGATGAAAAAATCACAATGAAAAGAAAAAAAAAAGTCAGAAAATTAAAAAAAGAAAAAACACTGAATAAACAGTGGTCAGGGAAAGTTACAGAAACAAGTAGAAAGTGAATAAAAATATTCTGATACACCAATAATACACGATGACAATGATGTCAATATGACGAAAATTATGATGGCATATTAAATACTAATTTCTGGTCAAATTTTACTGCTAGGACAGTGGATTCTAGTAGCTTATGTTAAAAAGAGAAAACTATAAAATCATATCTGGGCCTTATTCTGACCATGACTTGTGATAAAACTACCATAAAATTTACTCAGTAACAGAATGTAGNCACAAATGTCAACTTTAGGTTTATAAATTGTCTCCACTAACAATCATGTGTAAAGGTCAGGAGAATTTGATCAATTTTGCTTAACTTGAAATACTGTTTTAATATTCATATGCACCTAATTTGAAGCAGGCTACAATTTTTCGTTCTAACATTTCATGTTTACCTTGCTTACTGTATGATGACTTTGCTGTGGCTCATACTCTTGGAAAATGCGGTAACATTCCCGAGTAATGGCATCTTCATCTGACTCTGAACCAGATACTAAACCAGCTGCAGGATAATCTGGCAAGGCAACTGAATTGACTACTTCAGTATCTTTAGTGTCAGTATCACTGCTGCTATTGTAATTCTCTTCTGATCCTGCACCAGGGGAAGAATTGCCTACAAATAAAATCACACATATGGGTATTGATTACTAATTTACCCTTGTAGCACACATACAAAAATTATGAAAAGATTGTAGGGGCTAAATGTTGGGGTGTCAAGAATAGGGTCATTCTAAATGCTCTTCTTTTTTAATATGGTTGATGATGGTGGGGGTACGTGTAATAGTAACTGGTGTTAATTCAGCTCTCGGGTGTTTACACTGTATAGACCGCCTCTGTGATCTAGTGGTCAAGAGTTCCTGGCTACAAATCCAGAGGTCTGGGTGTGATTTCTGGCGCTACCAGATTTTCTGAGAAGTAGTGGGTCCACTCAGCCTCATCAGGATAACGGAGGAGCTATTTCAAGGAAATAGTGGCTCCGGTCTAAAAAACCGAAATTAACAGCCATTGGGATTCGCTGCGCTGATCACACAACAACCTCTATCTGCTAAAGTTGGCATTAACTTCGCCGAAAAGTGGAGGTCACTCAGTCGGTATAGTTCACTTGCAGACTACAGGCCAAGGGTTTTTTTTTGTATATGCCAATGCTGTCAACATTTCAAATGTACATATAGCTTCCAACTTCAGGGTTAATGTGCGTAGTGTGGGTGAGTTTGTAAATACTCTGTACTTCCTCAATTCTAAGATGCTACTGAGTGTTAAGATACACCCGATTCAGTTATGTTTTCAGAAAAAAAGATGCTACACTCTTAATTTAGTGATAGGTTCCAGAAAAGAAAATACATATATTACAATAGGGACTGTCAATATTCAAATATGAAACTTCTTTGTATTAATACAAATCATCATAAAACAGAAAACATAAATGAAAAAATGGATCTATTCAAAATCTTATTCACTTGTGCATCTAGTCCATACTTCAAGTCTACAGATTCTGCTTAATGTGCTGTAGAATAGAGGAAATGTGATATACAGATGGGAAGAGGAGGGGCTGATGTCCAGTACAGACCAACAGGGACAGGAATAGCCATTTTAAGGGTCATGGAGTACATCAAAAATCAACTACTACTGGTGTCTCCAAGCAGTCACCCAACCAAGTGCTCACCTGATTTAACATTACTTAAACCCATCTATCATCAATTCATAGGCTCATTTTCCTCCTAAGATATACAATTCTTCAAGCTTCTTCCTCCTCATCTCAGTTAAAATGTACAATAACAAAGATATCCCTGCCACTTTCCACTCTGCTCAAACCACAGCACACAAGGTTTTGCAACTTCCGTCTGGTAAGCACTTGGATTGATGATAACCACTTGGCACCACCTGTGGCTGATGGTTCTTTGGTGCACTCCATAGCCTTATAAGGGCAGCTCCTTTTTTTCTTTCATATCATTTCCTTCACCCACCCTACACACTTCAACCCTGAAGATGGAGGCAGCATGAACCTCTGAAATACCAGAAATTCTTCCCACATCCACATATTGCACAGACCAAAGAGCTGAATAACTGTCAATGGTTAACCACTGTGATAGCCTAAAATTGGTAATAGCAATGTCTCTAGCAGTAATGGTCATTACAACGGATCTGATGGTGTACGGATAATGTGCTGCAGAAAGTCTTGGGTTCAAGACATGCAGCTATGACCCAGCTACAATGGGTGGTAGGACTGCGTACAGGACACTATCACCTCAAAGGACACCTGTTCAAACTGGGACTAAGTGATAGTCCCACTTGTGAGAGGTGTCAAGAAGAAAACGAAACAGCCACACATATCCTGTGTGAATGTGAGGCTTTATCTTACTTAAGACTACATCACTTGGGTCAATACTTTATGGAACCAAGTGACTACTCGTATTTCGACGCCTCCATGTACAAAATCCTGCGCTTCATTTGAAGGGCGGGATTGCTGAGGGGATAATTAAAAGGGAAAGCACAATAGACCACTGTAGGTTGCGGTGCAAGGGCCGAGAAGGCCTACCCCTCATACATTCATTCATTCAAGATGATAATAAAAAATTTATCAAAGAATTTAGTTGTACTGAACTACTCCTACATACTAGCTGAGGTAGCGCAGTCGGTATAGCAACTGGCTACAGGCTGGACAACGGGGGTTGGAGTTCAAGTACCAATGGAGGCAAGCTTTTTCTCTTCTCCAAGTCATCCAAACTGGCTCTGGGGTCTACCCAACCTCCTATCCAGTGGGTACTGAGGGCTCTTTCCCTGGTGGTAAAGTGACAAGGGCGTGAAGCTGACCACTCACCTTCAACAAGTGCCGAGGTCAAGAAAATGTGGATCTATACATCCACTCCCCCATATGCCTTCACAGTGTAGTGCTATAGTTAAGCACACGGACAATTTTACCTTTTACTCCTCCATATTGATATAACGGAAACAGCTTACCTTCATTCATTCCACAATCTTCACCTGGATGCTTCTTTGTCACCTTTCTGGTGGCTGTTACCGCGGCTGTCTTATGTTCTCTACGGCGAGATTTACTGTCCTGATGATGCTTTTCTAATGTGTGTTTGTGCCTGTAATGACGGTGATGGTGATGACCTTGACTTTCATGTTTTGATCCACTGTTACCTGAATGACTCTTTCCTTTAACCAGTGTTTTGGAACTCGAACGTTTCTCATGCTGATTCACAGAATGATGTGTGTGTCTGTCTTTTGTTCTTGATTCTTCCTTCACTTTATGGTGCTTCTGACTTTTACTATCACCACCAGTGTCTTTCTTTTCAGTCCTTTCTCCTCTCTCTCTTTTACTACACTTATCAACTGACTTCCTATGTTCAGATCTATTCGAATTTGAATGTTTAACACGATCATGTCTCTTACAATCCTGTTCTTTTGTTTTCTCACTTGAATGTCTCTTATTTTTTGATCTGCTCATTCTTTTCAGTTCTTCTTTCTTGCTCACTGATGAACACATCTCAGGCTCCGAGTGTGAATTTACGTGCACATGCGCTCCCAGTTTTCCCTTGTGTCTACTCCTACTACTCACCTCCCCAGGATCTACTTTTTCATTAGTATCAATTTTTGGTTTCTCATTTTCAACATTTAACTTAGGTTCATCACTGTTTACAACACTCTGCAACATAGGACCATCTTCAGTCTTCATACTATTTCCTTTCTGTGATTCATTTGAGTTTTCATTTAGAATTTCATCCAACAGATCAAATTCAGGAGAGAAATCTATATCCACAATATCATCCCGCAGCTCGGATTTTATGGTTGGAGTATACAGGATCTCAGATATATTATTTGTTGAACCTTCAGGGACATAATTAGGTTCAGACCTGGAGCAAGATTTTTCTGTTGGGCAATACTGTTGCAAAGGGACCGATGAACTGACAGGTGAAGGAACATAGTCATCATTACACTTTGGAAGCATATCAATTGAACTTGGTATGTATGATGGTAATTTGGTGGAACCACTCCAACCATTATGTGGAGGTGAATACTTCAGAGATGATGGATTGTATGCAACATCTTTCACAGATACATCAGACTCAGGATTGTATTCTTCTTCCACTTTCCGAATGTCCTTTGCATCACATTTTACCTTTTTCTGTGTAGAATTATCATCTGAAGGTCCTGATCGCTTCACTTGAACCTTGGAACTGCCTCTTGGTGCTGGAGAAGGTGTATAAGGCACCGGAATATGGCGCTTCTTTAATTCTGATATAGGCGTCGGTTTGTAAGATGGAACTCCAGCTGGGGGTAAATACGCCCTGTGCGACCGGGGTGCTGGAGCCTCAGATACTGGGTCACCACCACCAATCTGCAATGCTGATGGTTTTAGTTCCTGCACTACCTGACTAACAAGAGCTTGGGGAATTGAATTTTCTGACGCAGAGGACACTGAACCTGCTAACATTTCTGGATGCTGTAACACTTTCTTTACGGCCTCAGAAACTAATCTTTGCAAAATGTCAGTGCCAGCTACATCACCAGTGTTGGCAGTGCTGCACTCCTGAGCAGGGTTGTTGGCATTTGCCTGACACATACTTGAAGATGGTGTATCAGTCAATTCTGAAATAAAATATAAAGATCTTCAGTTTCTGTAAAATAGTTTACAGTATGACTACCAATGATCAGACAATGATTTGATGGAGATATTCAGACAGTGGATGGCTACTGACAGACGAACTCTGGCAAGAACACTGCACAATCTTGCCGAGACTTTCTTGAGGCTTTTAGCACAACAGAAATTTACAGGTCCCATATCAATGTATCTTGATCTACAGGATAAAATAAAGAAGAATGAATGAATGAAAAGGTTATATAAAAGGTTATCAACTCTGTCCAGTGTGATGATGCTGAAGGGTCCTATTCACCAAGCAATGGAACCATGGTGTGGTAGACACTAGAGAGGCAGTATAAAGGACATGAACCAAACTGATTTTAATTCTAACAAAGTTTTTTAAACCACACTTGTAAATAAACTAACTGCAGTAATTTATAAATATTTTAATGTATTCATGCACATCGCTATAGTTTTTAAATGCTCAGATTTTATATTAATGGGATTGTGATGATATTGTCTGTATGTATTGATATTGACCAAACTCATTGTAATAGTAGTTTCTGCCTGTATTGATATATCCTTCTGAAGATGGTCTCTAAGACCGAAACATGTCAAGGATGAAAGATAAAAAAGGAGAAAATAAACAATATATGATATAACTCCGTCCTAAGTGCAAACTATATTCATAGGTATTTCGTTTTGTTCTCCTTTATACACTACATGTTTCGGCCCCAAACGGCCATCATCAGGCGTATACACTCACGTATCTGTTACACTGCACTTATTTATAACATTTAAAATTTAAAAACATATGTCTTCCTGATTGTTATTACCAAAATCTACTTTGTTGATGTCTTTGTTATTTACATGCATTAATTTTGATTTCTCTGAATTAGCACTTATAAAATCTTCAGTTCTAATTTTAAATCCTTTAACATTTTTTAAATTTTAAATGTTATAAATAAGTGCAGTGTAACAGATACGTGAGTGTATACACCTGATGATGGCCGTTTGGGGCCGAAACATGTAGTGTATAAAAAAGAACAAGACGAAAGACCTATAAATATAGTTTGCACTTAGGACGGAGTTATATCATATATCGTATAAAGTGCAACAGGATGCTTAAATATAATAGAGAAAATAAACATTTATCAATCACACTGGATGGAGTTGATAACCTTTTATAATATTGCTAGTGTGATGGACGAGGATGAACCAAAAGAACAAACTCTTTTTGAAAAGTGTAAAATAATGCCATTCAGTTCGAATGTTATGTTTAGCAGGTGTCACAGTGGACTGACCAAACTNGAAAACTAATCCATTATGCAATGAAGTATCAGATGTTCATCAGAACAATGTTTCGGCAACTCATCCATTTATGGCTTATTTTTCTCAAAATGAAAAGACAGAGAACATCAATTTTGTTGCCATATCAGTTGTTGAAACCTTGACAGTAGAGGTGTACATTTATTCCAAAGCAAATAATGTAGTTATCCGTCTGGTAACTTGAAAGATTTACTGCTTTTCTGATGTTGCTGCTTTGCAGTATAAAAGCATGAAAATTTTAATCAACCTCTATCAAAAGGATGATTTTGGAATGGATACTAAGTAGAACCTCTTTGCAGCATCACATGGCAAAGGTGGAAGTGATTAGACTACAAAAAACAATCAAAGACTAGAAAGAAAGGCAAGTCTGCAAAATCCTTGTGAGACGCGGATCATGACACTAAAATAGCTACAGAAAAGACAGGCTGATGTATGAAGACAGATACAGGAAAGCATGAACACTTCCAGGTACTAAAAAAATGCATTGTGTCACCTCTACCTAAATAACCAAGAACAGACAAAAGTGTTTTCGGGAGCAAATGTGTTCACCACTACACGTACAGTACACTTGCAGGTTGAACAGTATTCAGTGGCAGATATTAGATGATATGTACGTAGGTAGGCTGAAAAGTAATGCACACATGCTTGTAGAGCGCAAACGAAATGACCTTCAGAAGTGTGCCAGGTGACATGTGGAAGTAATATTCCCCCTCAATAAATACGCATGCGCAGGTTTGAGGTCGTTGTGTTCATCCAGTGTATTTCGAGAAGCGGAAGTATGGAGACGTGTTCTAGTGCTATGTCAATGCGAGTTAAACAGCGTGCTGTTATCGAATTTTTAACTGCTGAAAAAGTGATTCCTACTGAGATTCATCGGCATTTAAAGGCTGTTTATGGTGACGACCTTGTTGATAGGTCTACTGTAAATCGATGGGTAATAACATTTTGTGGTTGCGAGCCTGGAAAAGCCATAATTGTTGATGAAACACGCAGCAGATATCCGATCACTGCCACAGATGATAATCATCGCAAACTCGTCGACGATTTGATTCAAAATGACCGGCGAATCACTCAAAAGTGTATCGCAAACCATATTGGAATATCCAAGGAACCTGATGGCTTCATTATTGAACAATTGGGATACCGTAAAATCTGTGCACGATGGGTACCACACCGTCTCACAGACGAGAACAAACAGCGTCGATTGGAATGCTGCGAGCAACTTTTGCAGCGCTACCGTGACGAAGGAGACGAATTTCGTTTGAATATTGTGACGGGGGACGAGTCATGAGTCCATCGTTATGACCCGGAAGAGAAAAGACAGAGCGCTGAATATCGAAATCTGTCTTCTCCTCAGGCGAAAAAGTTCAAAACACAACCATCCGCCAAAAAACTTCTTTTGACTGTGTTTTGGGATGCTCACCGAGTTTATGTGACCGATTTTCTGGAACGAGGGGCAATGGTAAATTCTTCTCAGTACATACAGACTCTAAAACACCTCCGGCATTGAGTTTGTCGTGTTAGAGGCAGCCTGCCGCCAATAATCTTGCAACATGACAACGCTTGTCCACACACCTCGCGCGCAACTGAAGAGGCTCTGCGAAACCTGAAGTTTGAACCAATTCCACACCCTCCTTATTCCCCCGATCTTGCACCTTGCAAATTTTATTTTTTCCTCTACTCAAGAGAGACCTCAAGGGTAATCATTACACCTCGGACGATGAGGTGAAAGCAGCTGTTAAGTCCTGGATTCGAGAAAAGTCAGAAGAATTTTTCAGTGACAGAATGAAAAAACTTGTTACAGGTTGGGAGAAATGTGTTAGCCTTAACGGTGACTATGTTGAAAACTAAATATATGCTTTTGAAACTTAAGAATTGTACTTTAATGTACTTTTTGCCCGATCTTGCTATTTGTTTTTGTTCGCACTCTACAAGCATGTGTGCATTACTTTTCAGCCTACCCACGTAACTTGCAAATATGACAGGAGGTGGTGTCATGCATGTATAAGTGAATGTGAGTGCAATCCAACCAACAGTTTTGGATTCCATCAGGCCCCAATAAATCTTTCATGTATTCTGTGGGTTCCAGCTTCCTAAGTGCTGACAAAAGTGGTTCCACAAACTACAATATGTCGTGCACATGATCAGCGCAAAGGAATCCTATTGCACCACTGACAATCTAGAAACCACGCTTCACAGACTATAAATATCTATTCTTACGGGTAACATTTATCATTTGAATGAGAAATTAATTATAACAATTTAATGAATAAGACTGTCAGGTTTCTTTTCTGCCTTCTTTTGTTGCGTTACTTATGTAGTTTCCTGTAATCTTCAACTTAAGCAAACAACAATTTGTATGCAACCTGTAGCTATAAACAAATATATATCTCACCAACCCATTCATGTCCCAACATAAATTTTTCCAGATACTTACTTAAAGAATAAGAAACTATTTTGAAAAGGAAAGAAAAACTCAATAACTTTGGCTATATATTTTCATATAAATTAAGGTTAAAGTCCAACTTAGTGGCCTCCGTAGTCTAGAGGTAACGTTCCCACCTCATGACTCGTGGTACGCGGGTTCAAACCCGGCGGAGGTCGTGGAATTTTTAAGGGCAGAAAAATTCAGGGAACAAGTCCTCTGGGAGGGACTTTAAGCCGTGGGTCCCGTGTCGTAGCTTTACGGCACGTAAAAGAACCTCATATCCCCAAAGGGGATCACTGAGCCAAATTCCAGGACGTTTCCCGCCCAACAATAGTCTCTAAGGCCTCTGATAGATGGGGGAAGCATTATAGATACCGCCAAGCCAGTAGAGGCCGAACTCGCTGGCTCGATCGGGACTGATGGTACGCACCAGTATCAGTAGGATATAGAGATTGGTAGAATATCATAGAGGGAAGCACAATGGACCAATACTGATCTAAGTGCATGGGGAAACCCACCCTCTCCAATAACTAACTAACTAACTAACTAAAGTCCAACTTCCAAATGTTCAAGTGATCTGAAATATTTTTGATGGCTTACCAAATAAAAGCCCTGTTTAAGTGCTTTCAATTGGAACATGAATGGGCTCTCTATCTTAATTAAGAACAGAGTTATAAGCAATTTAGTTAATCCAAATGCAAGTACCTTTAAAGAAAACTTAAAGAACTTTAAAATAAAATAACAGATGAAGGAAACCAACTTCATATTTATCACTTATTCATCAGACTGTGTACACTTAAAAAAATTTCACTAAAATCCAAGGTGGTCATATCAACTGCTATGTTAAGCTGAGATGCAATGAGTCACATTTACATAATGAAATGACTGTTAATGTTTTCAAATATTGAGGTATTTATTGTGTAGCTATACATTTGTCTCACATTACTCATTTTATTATAGGTACTAAAATGTTACTGAATTTAAAACATCTAAACTACAATTATAAATACAAACCACTATGTCCAATGTGAGATGTAAGTTTTTACTACGTTAAAACTTATCTCCCTTATATGTTTTGGTCCCTATGGGCCATCTTCAGAGGGAACATCATTACAAACTGGAAACTACCATCACAATAGGTGTTTTGATTTAAAATACATACACTTATATCCTCTAGTGCATAGTACGGATAATGTCGAACGTTTCACAATCACAGCAGCTTCCTGATGTTGTAAAGTTTTTAAAAGTTTCTAGATGTTATTTAAAAAACCTTTATTGTCAATAGTTAACATTTTTTAAACCACGTAGGTTCATGTCCATACTCCTAACCTCCTTCTTGTATGGGGCAGATTTTGTGCCGCCTGTCTATCTTGATCAAATTCATCTAAACTACATTAGAGCAAACCAAACTTAAAGCAACAAAACTGCCACAGTAATCAAGAGTTTCTTTAAGTCAAGTTTTATCTCACAAATAACCTCAAGAGTTGGCATTTTTCTAAGTTCATGACATTTATGAATAATACAAGATATGGAGAACAGGATTGACAAAAGTAGTCACAACTCACATTTCATACTTCAAGCTCTTTAAAAAACTCTACATATTGACACACGTTTCTTGCTCTACCTTCAAACTTAGTATTTTTAACTTTGAGGTACTGAAAGAATATTAAATTATATTATGATGTTAAACAAGTACTGCACCCACTATACTACTGCTGATGAGAGTATTGAAAAATATAAACCTTGGTCGTTAGAAACGAAACTCTGGATTTCAGAATTTGTAATATTTGGTCTACACAACGAATTAAAAACGAAAGTCTGTATAAAATATACATGGTTCCTATTGTAATTACGTCCGGCTCTTAATAAAATTGCACATACCTAACCCAACTTCTTTCACGAAGGATAAGAACCATTAAAGTTATATTACGTCACCATGCACAGTGACAATAAGACCACCTACCAGAAATACGTTTCGTAAATAGCTAGAATTAAATATAACCAAACCCACCTTTCTTCACATGTCTGAAATGGCAATAAGGTCTCTCGCACAACCCACTATCATAGAATGGACAATTTATTGTTTTAAAATATCCTGTTGAGGGCAACATTGTTGCAGTAAATATGTGGTCAAGCTAATTTCTCATTCATCATACTCTTTCTCATACCAAATACATTATAATCTAAACATCACACACCAAACTTTACTCCATTCGTAACGCTGTGCGCTAAGTGCATGGCAACATTTTCTTGTTGTTCGATTTCCCTGTGCGGTTGACAGCGCTGACAGCATATTTCCCTAGTATGCAAGAAAATTCTCTCATCGGTTTCACTCTTTGAACAATCGCTGGCCATTCAAGGAGGGTCTATCTCATAAAAATAGAATGCCCACGACTACGAAGAAACCCAGCGTGTGAGATGGTAACTCCATGGAAGAGGAACGGCAAAGGTGTCCCATGCTAATATGCTACAATGAGAAGAATCTTAACTATGTTACTACGATATCCAGCAGCCAATTCACTTACACACATTATCTGAGAACTAACTTCATGGAGCTGAGCCCTTCTTGAGAAGCTGCCAATGGTGCGGCGATCCAAAAACTTGCCAGCATATTAGGAACCCGAAGGTTCATTACCGTGTTCACAAGAGCCCTCCACTGGTCCCTATCCTGAGCCAGATCAATCCAATCCATATCCTATCTCACTAAGATCCATTTTAATATTGTCCCCCATATTGTCTTGGTCTTCCAAGTGGTTCTTTCCTTCTGGCCTTCCCAGCAATATTCCATAAGCATTCTTCTTCTCCCCCATTCGTGCTACATGCCCTGCTCATCTCATCCTCCTTGACTTCATCATTCTAATTATACTTGGGTGAAGAGTAAAATTCATGAAGCATGAAGTTTTCTTCAACCTCCCATCACTTTATCTCTGTTCAGTCCGAATATTCTCCTCAGCACCCTGTTCTCAAACACCCTCAATCTTATTATTTCTCCCTTAATGTCAGTGACCAAGTTTCACATACATAACAGTACCAAAGGCAAAATTATAGTTTAGTATATTCTACTTTGCATGAATTTTGGCAGCAGACAAGAAGACAAAAGGTCCTGGGCTGAATGGTAGCAAGCCCTGCCCAAATTCAATCTCCTCTTAATTTCCTCTTCAATCAAACTTTCATTGGTTACTGTTGTTCAACCATATCTGATCTGTGCCACATTCTAAAAATACCTGTAAGCTGTATTTACGTCATGATTTTGCCCTGTAATCTGGTGACGAGACAGCAATATATACTTAGTTTTCCTTGCATTTACTTCTAGACTAACCTCTTTATTAGCTTTCTGTGTTTCTATATATGATATCTGTGTTATCTTCCAGTAGATTCACATCATCAGTATAGACCAGCAGCTGATGTGTCTCATTTAATTTCAGTCCCACCTGGTTTTCCTGGACCTTCCTAATGGCATATTCTAAAGCAAAGTTAAAAAGCAGTGGTGATAAATCATCTGCTTGATTCAGACCATTCTGGATAGGAAAATTATCGGACAAATGTTTACCTATACAAACTTCATATACGTTTCATTTAAACACATTTGAATCAGCTTAACCAGTTTCATGGGTAGCTTAAACTCTATGAGAATATTGTATAATACTTCCCTTCTAACTGAATCATAGGCTTTCTTGAAGTCTATGAATAGGTGATGAACTGTTTCATTGACCTCCTATTCTCTCTCCAGTATCTGACCAACGCAAAAGATTTGATCAGTAGCTGATTTGTTATGTCAAAACCCACATTGATGATCCCCAGTTTCATCTATATATGAACTTAACCTTCAGAGAAGGATATTGGATAAAATTTTGTATGAATTTGATAGCAGTGATATCCCACTATAATTGCTACAGTCAGCTTTATTGCCCTTCTTGTAAACTGGTACAGTAATAGACTCCTTCCATTGATCGGATGTTTCTTCCTTATTCCAAACAGAATTAATGAGCTTATGGATCTTACACTGTAAAGTTTCATGACCTGCTCGGATAACTTCTGCATGAATTTTATCACTACGTGGAGATTAATTACCATTATGGGAAAGTGTTTACCGGGCCATTGCCTAGTAATGACCACCTCTTCTCTCTCCACTATTCAGGCTTTCAGTTGTCATACCACAATAACATAAATATAAGCATCGTGTTCTACACTTAAAGGCAAGCAGAAATGTTCTTACAAATGTATGGTAGCAACCTCTTTGTTAGTCACTATAGCAACAGTGCATGTGACCACTATTATGCAGCATCACAAAATGGATAAAGCAATCACTCAGTCTACAGACTACACTGAGCATGCGCAAGCTGCACAAACACAAAGAAAACACTGCTGCTGTACTGTTGTGTGATGTCACTGCCTTTGCAGACGTGTGTTTACCAACCCGTTGCCTAGAAATGGGTTGCATATCTCCATCGTTCTATTGTTGTGTGCATGTATTATTTAGCAACAATTTTTTTTCTGTGGCTCAACCATCTCGCATGGAGCAAATACGCCACAATATGTTGAACATGGAGTATCATACATTTCACCCTATAATCTAGTGGACAACAACCTACAGGGTGGCGAAAGTTATACCACTGAGTTGTGGAACTTCTATCAAATGTAGATAATAATGTCAATACTTGTTTGTTGTGGTTTTTTGTCTTTTTTATATACCGGACGATGGGTGAANCATGGAACTTCTATCAAATGTAGATGTTTAAAATAATGTCAATACGTTAAGATTTTGAATGAGTGGCACAAAGCACAAAGACCATGTGTTCAGAATAATTATGATGGAATTTTAATTCCAACAACGGAACACATTTAAGAAAAACGTTTTTATAATGACAGTGGTTTTAGATTGTTTTCCTAGTAACTCTTTTGCACTCACATGTTGATTTTCAGACATCAATATTCTCGCAGCCTATAATAATGTCGAATTTTCTACCGTGAGAACTACTGGGAGTAAACATACTGAACCTTAATAGTAAGGGAAGTGAGGGGAATGATGCCACCCTCTCTTTAATGAAATGGTTTAATTTAGCCACTGATAACTTTATACTGATAATGAAAACGCTAAAGAGTAGTTAATGAAGGACTGCTGTGTGGCGTTTGCTTGTTGTGATAAAAAGTATCATTATAGGGTATTTTGTACTAATTTTTCAAGGTAGCAAAAATGAAGGTAAGTGCAGTTTCTTTCTTAGAATACATTATAAGGTCATAAATAGCAAGTAATTACATAAGTAAAAAAGTAAAGCTATCTCTGTAACAGGCTGTGGAGGCCCATAGGGTTGTGAGATGTTGAGGTTCCTACATTTTCTAGACAATCAGCTCCTAGGCGGCAAGGTTGTCAGCCCTACGCGCCGGCCACACTTTACCCTCAAGGATATTCCAAGAATATTCCTGGTACTCATTTTTGTTAGAGGCTGAGTTGACCCCAGGACCATAGTACAGCTGGAAGGATTACGTGAATTGAAAAAAATCCAGTGACCTCATCATAACTTGAACCCGCGACCTTCCGTCTTGTAGCATAGTGCAACCAACTATGCTACCGCGTGCCCCCAAGTAATTATGTAACTTTTGGTATAATTACCGTCCCAAAATATTATGAAATATGGTGAGGCCAGATAAATGTGTACAGACATCCATACTTGGGACAATGGCGCTATCTTAGAGGGCAATATTTCCCCAACTTCTTGTAATTTTATGTTTGCATATTTTCTGACAGCAATTTTTCTTATTTGTGATGGTAATATCACGGAACAGAACTATGAAAGAAGCCATGATGGCTGAGGAATAACTGGAAAAGCAATAAATGATACCAGGGCCCCCATCATTTGTCCCAGCTGGGCTCATTAACTGGCTTCCATCCAAACTCTCAGTTTCCTCCATAGAGACCTCTTCTGATGGTCAGACATTTCTTCTTCCTGATGGATAGGCTATTCATCCATAAAGAGACATCAGACAGTTTACCCTTCTCAGGCCCTTCATGAAGACCCTCAAGGGCTTATTGCTACTTCCTCTCAGCTCTCTGATTCAACTGGATTAAGATTTCTCATGACTGTGTCCAGTGAGGGGTTATTGTGTTACTATGTTAGAAATTAGTTTATAATACCAGAAAGATAGTTGATAATTACAAAAATTGTACCCAACTAATTCCGACATCACAATTCATAATAGATTTAAATATAAAAAAGGAAGATTAAAAAAATTAATACATTTCAAGAGACATTAGATGTAACTAACTACGTCTTTCTTGTAGGGAAAATGAGAGCGCTAATGAAGGCTGTACTACAAACATGGCATTTGAATCTGTAAAACTGTACTCTCTGGGCGTTCTATAAGAAAAGCAATATTGTATGTGACTGTTACTGGAAACCTCAAAACAGCACAAAATATCTTACTCACCTGAACTTGAACAACTCTCCAAAAATAATGCTTTTATTTAACTAATAATATAATGATGAAGATAATATTTTAACTAATAAGATTATAAATTAAATCAGTTCATTTACCACTCATTGTTTTAGTGGTGTGGAACTTCTGGTCTTTGTTTCAACAGGATTTAGAGGAGGGGTCGGATATGTAACTGTCTGGGCATAATATTAATCACAAAGTTGAAATAATGTTTCAGTCCATACAGTACGAATTATTCATAAGTGATGATAGCTAAGTCAGTAAAGTTAATATAAGGTAGTAGTTGAGTGAGTTTGACTCCTGGTAGAGGCACGGATTTTAATCATCATAATGTTCAGAATGAGATGGTCCTGGTATCACTCCTCCAAACCCCCAGTCTCGTAACCAATTATGAATATTGCTTTTCCCCCCTGAAAATAAAGGAGACAGAGTGTGGTGCATTATTTCTATTCCTTCCAATATATATGTTCATTGCAAAGGGACAATTCTAAATTCATCTTTTTATAAAGTGAATCATTTACTTTCCCATGAGTTTGTACATGAAGAGATAGGTGTAGGTAAACCACAGACAATTTTTTCTCTTGATAAAATTACTGAGTTATGATACATAGATATGTTTCACTTAACAGATGACATCATATATATCTAAAAACATGTTCCAGATATTATTTTCTTTGAAACTGTGAGGAAACTTATGTAGTGAAAGAGTTAACAACACTTCATCTGTTACGTTGTAGAAAATACACATAGTAGCACTGGGATATCCTTGCCTGAAGCAGTCCCATAAATGAACTTCTACAATGCATGAAATAACTGGCATTTCCATATGATCATAACTAATTCCACATTGATCTTGAATTAATATAAATATAAATCACATCCCCCCCCCCGCTTCATTCTGCCAACTAAGAGAGAACCCCTAATAAAGTAAAGTAAATTAAAGCTATCCCTGTATCAGACCACGAAGGCCCATAAGGTTATGAGACATTGAGGGTCCCACATTATCTAGACAACCGGCTCAAAGATTGCGGTAAGGTTGTCAGCCTTACACACCGGCTGGGCTTTACTCACCAAGAAAATTATTTATTTAATTTCTGGTACTCATTTATGTTAGAGGCTGAGTGAACCCCAGGGCCATAGTGCGGCTGGAAGGATTAGGTCAATTGAAAAAAATCCAATTACCTCGTCAGTATTTGAACCCGTTACCTTCCGACTTGTAGCATAGTGCCTTAACCACTACACTACCGCGCGCCCTGAAAACTACTAATATGGGTTCAATACGTCCACACAGTCTTGCCAGATGTGTTATGTAATATACCATTTCAACGTTTCATATTTCAGTTTACAATGTAAAGTGGATGCTGTTTGTTGGAATACAGATTAAAATTAACAGCTGGAATGATCTTGCTGCTGCAGATTATGTTGATGATGATAATAATAGCACAAAGCCATTCTTTTACAGAAGTTATGATTAAATTAGCAGAATTCTTTACACTGATATGTACTACAATACAATTAAAGTATAAAACTTATACTTTGATAACCTTACTTCAAGATTTGTTGCAAAGACTTCCATGCTTTCAACATAATATGTTCACTATAAGTAAAATAAATTACAACTGCTGTTAAAGTTATAGCGGCATAATATGATTCTTCAAACCAGCCTGTTACATATGTTGTATTATTATAACTTGAGGATTTCTTCTGTAATACATTCCTGATTTTGCAGTGCATTTTCAAGACGTGTGGATTAATATCTTCTCATACAGTATGATCTAAGAATTTGTGTGGTATTTGTATACATTTAATTAATACTTCCCTTTATGTTAAATTTGATAAAGAAATTGCAATTCGATTAAAACTCCTGATTAAATTAACAAGTTTTTGGCAAATTGAAAATCTCTTCACTTAATTGAATGTTTATTAATATCCACTATTTACAAATTTATGCTAGCCAACTGCTGCAGAGCCTTAATATAAATAAATCTGCATTTCAGTTCTCTGAAGAAAATTTTATTTTATATTTGCCAGAGCGAGCCAGAGTGGTTCCATGAGATTACAATTTCTGTATTAATTGAAAAATTACATTATAACATTTCACTGTTCAGAATAACAGTCATAACACAAATGTTTCCCCCCCTCACCTTAAATGCTGATGTTTGTATCTCATAATGAGGCACTATATGTTAAGAAATAATTCTGCATCTCCCTCTTTGGAAAGAAGAAGGAGAAGTAGCTGCAGTCTTCATTTTGAAGAAAAGCTGTAATTCTTTTTTTAATTCGCTTAGTGGGGGGTGGAGTCCAACTTGGTCCACTCGTAATGGCGGCCATAAACTGGTCTATTCAAGCCTGCCCTGGGTGATTATGATGAAGAATTTGGTGGAATGAAGATTGGCAGGGGAACCGAAGTACTTGGACAAAACCCGCCACAGCGCCACTTTGTCCACCACAAATCCCACTTGACCGGACCCGGGATTGAACCTGGGCCGCCATGGTGGGAAGACAGTGATGAACCACTTGAGCTATGGCACAGCCAAGAAAAGCTGTAAATGGCTTCATCAAATACTATGAAAACATAATCACAGATTCCCTCCAATTTCACTTTTCAATCTTGAACACACTTGTAAAGGTTCAGGTTTTAGAAGGGCACAGTTAACGTGAAGAGGGATAAAATTGGTTTCATGTGATATAAATGTTGGTCACTGTAGTCTGTTTATTTCATGTGGTTTCCTGCTTGCAGGCAGCCTACAGGAATGCTAACAGGAAAGAAATCTTAAAGTAATTCAGACAGAGGCACAGCAAATTTCATGGAGTGAATTATGCAAACACTATGTGTTCACCTAAATTACATACCTTTTCACTTACTCATTCACCCCTGCTTTTAATGCAATTTAAAACTGTTCACAATCTCTCCTTAATTTAAAATAACATTAACACTACCTCAATTGCTACAAACAAACAAACAAACACATTTTAGTGTCAACAGTGATATGGAATAGCATGGAAATATATTGACTAAGATCTACTGCAGTGTGACAGTTTTCAAACTATGAACAGTTGCCTGAAGTAAGGCCAAAACATGTGGCAATTTAGGCGATTTTAATGTAATTTTAAATTAGAGAGAGATTGTTAACGGTTTTATGTTGCATTAAAGATAGAGGTGAATGAGTGAGTGGTACATCAATGCAACAGAATGTTAAAATGTAATATTATGTACCTTATTTTCTTAATTAGAAATTTTGGGCCCTTATCAGAACACTATCCATCAACAGCATACTGAATTTTGATAAAACTTACACTGGCAAACTGATTAATAGATAGATTAATATGTGTATTGGAAATAATGAAGACCTTAATTTAAAATGTAACTCATTAAAAAAATACATAATATTGAATGAATGAAACTGAACTGTTTGTACTCATTTTTAAACTTCCAAGGACTTTTCAGTTTCAGAGTCACTACTTTGGAAAATTTTAGAAGCTCTGTAGTACAAACTCTGAAAGAAATGTATTCATTCTTACGATTACTCATATTACAGCAGTGCAAGATTAATTACATTGCACTGTATCCCAATATCAAGCAGTTAAGCACATTCCTGACATATAAATTCACAAAAATCTGTCACTATAATATTGTAAATCACTGTAAAAATCTTTCAGCATCAATTTATCTTATCATCAATACCTTCACCTTCCACCAGTTATTACATCTACTGAACTCTCAAACCAGCCATGCGATCCAATGTATATGGTATTCGTTTGCTGGCTGTGATTCCATATTTTCTCTTCTACATTCACTGTAGATATTATAGCTATAGAGAAGAAAAACCTCTAAGTTGAATGAAATAAGAATTAAGATCTGTTTGGTTCATCTTCAATGAAAACAGCACCCACTCTATGGTCATGTTTAAAGTTTATTTAGTGAAATTTTCTTGAGCTCATTTGAGAATTAAGGTGCTATAATTTCATGCAAAACATAAATGAAGTGTTCATAAAACCAAATGTACATTAAGAGCATATATACCGTATTTACGCATGTATAGGCCGCGTGCGTGTATAGGCCGCAGCACAATTTTCAGACAGAAATTATAGAAAAAATAATTTTCTTGGAATATTATTTCAGGAGTAGAAATTATTCCGAAATTTGGCAACGTTAATTTTTTTTAAATGAAGTGTGATTTCGAATATTTCGAATATAAGCCGCACCCCAGTTTTCCTCTTGAATTTTTGGCAAAAAATGTGCGGCCTATACATGCGTAAATACGGTATTTGTTGTTATGGCAATCAGTACATAGAACTTTATATAGTAAATTTTGCTGAAGGCTTGTCTACCATCTTAGAAATGCATGGAAGAGTAATGGAGAGAGGTGACCAGGTTTCTTGTCAAGAAAACACCAAAGGGTTACATGGTGTGACATCTTCTGCAGCTGTGTTTAAAGTAGGCCTCACAATAATTACTACATCACAGTTGCAACTATTTTCTTTCAGAGAAAAGCCAGTCATGAGACACAGAGTACTGAAACTTGGTCTATCTGCAATATTGATATATAGCAGGCATGGTGATTGAGGAACATGGCATTGATACACTTATAGAATCTAGACCTGCAGCTGCAGAGCTACAGGCACATGCAATACAGAGTTATAGAGGAGAAAATATGGAAATATTTGAGAACATTTTACATTATACATTGCATATACTGAAACTCGATCTCTAATACTCTTTAGGTTAGACATTTCAACAGCATATATAATTCTGGCTGGCTGAGATACGATAAAAAGAAACAGATACAGGCATGGAATTAAATGTGTGCCTGAGAGCTACAGTCACAAGAGAACACAGGAAATAATATTTTCATGTGAGATAAAGTTGCCAATCCTGGTTGTGGTGTAATAAGTTATTAACCATAACAGATTCTCACGTCATTTACATTTATGTGATGAAATCTCAGTTTATAATGTGACTATTTTCAGACAATCCTTCATATCAATAAATCATGGTATCATTATTTAAAAAGAACAAAACTGTTGAAGAAAACAAGTACCTAAAGACAGCATCTTATAGGTTTACAAACAATAGGAAACACAAGCAATATGCATCATTTTTTTTATTTTGTTGGACATCACTGTAATATAAATGATAGACATTCTAATTTCAAAAGAAACATGAGAAACATGGAGGTGAATAAAAATTCAATATGGGCACATATTAATATTTCAATCTTCTGCAAACCAGTTTCACAGCGTCCTGAGAATACAATTTAGATACCGACAATGCCATAAAATATACAGGAACTAAGAACACAGTTTTACTGTAATACTAACAATTGTGAGAACAAATACCCTTGTTGACCATCAGATTATAACAGTTCCTTATTTCTGGCAAAATATTGTAAAGTATGTATAACAATATCCTGTTTAAATTGAAATTGGAATTAGGTGTGGGAGGTTGTTAAAAACTTGAATATCCTGGTTGTAGACATCAGAGCGTTAAATAATAATTAACTTAGGTTCTTTATAGCGATTCGGGCAGTTTCAAATAATGTCACATATAATTAAAAACTTTGTAACAGTTATTTTAAAAACTTACAGCCTTAAATCTATTAGGAAATCTATATTACTGAAGCTAATCATAAAATTAGAAAAGGTTCATCTACACTGAGTGAATATTAATGCTATGTAAAGCGGCAAAAGCAAAATAAATTTAAAATAGAATATGAGAAAGAAGATATGTATTCTAAACAATTTGATACTGACGAATTCAATATCCGGTCTGGTTTCCGGACAATGGATCTGTGAAATTATGTATGTATGTATGTATGTATGCTCTCTTACTTAGAGAAAGGTATAGTGGAAACTAAACCATATGTCTGTTCGGGATTTTCATGACAAAATGGGTAGCAAGCATTAGAAAAGCACCATTCTATTACGATATGTAACCCCCCCCCTTCCACAACACAAGAAAATATTCCAGATTTCTTCTGCAATTCCATTCACAATGGAAATACTCATATGCCTCTTACAACAACGTCAAAGGGACCATTTCCACATCCTAGGTATGTTACCTGTATGGATATGTGGAAAATAAATTAATGAATGACTGAACAGTAGAAAACAAAAGGAGATAAAACATTAATCTTAGATACACTTATTGAAACCCTTTTAATTGTATATCAGGAAAATACAACTAAAACTTGTATTTTTATGACCAGAAAAACACACTGTTAATGTTATATGTTTCAGCTGTGATATCCTCTTAAAATATGAAAATTCTAAAATCCATTTTACAAACGTGGGATAAGTATTGTTAGGATGCTATTTATCTCTCACTACTAATAACGTCTACAAAATCTGTCTGGCTATAAATAATTGCAGAATATTTCTTTACAATTTGAATCATGTTGTTAAAGAGGCACCTGACAGAGAGTGTGTGAAAATAGCCATAATTAACAATCCTGAAAATTACGCTCACAGGAATCTGACTTCTAGGTTTGTAACTGTTTGTATAATTTGCAGTAAACCTCAGCCATGCCCCTCCCACCAGATTCTATGCTCTGGTGTTCCACCTTTATCATTATCAAACTGAGTTTCAAAATAATGCAGTAAGGAACTTGCTTCATCATGCAAACAAAACAATTCATTTATACTTCATATACACCAGCCTCAACAAAGATCATTATATTTAATATTTCTTTTTATATATATATATATTTATATATCTTGCTAACTCTTCTCAAGAAGGTTGCATCCAAGTGGAGCATCTCACAATTTTGTCATCTTATAAACACCTAATACAACAACTATTTCCTGGCATTCATTATGCAGGACTCTGGGCCTTTTTCCATTATGAAATTCAGTACAACCAAAGGAAGAAAGTAATCAGACCTTCAGAGAAGTAAAAGCAATCAGCATTAAGATCATGCATCTTTCCAGACTTCAGTCTGTTGCTGACAGGTTAACTGGCATCCAAAGTTGCTGCAGTAATATACTCAAAGCATTCTAAAATACTGTGTACTCTCTGACTATGCAACAAGCTCTGTGGGGAAATGGCTCTTCTTAAGCTGGCAGTTTGGAACTTGGTTGCATTTTCAATGAGTGAAGATGTACCATCAAAGACAAATAATTTTAAATTGTAAGCTCTCATATCACCATGTGATTGAAGTCAATACTGTTACTGTATTTGTATTTCAACATTCACAAAGGTTTCTGTAGAGGTTAGCCCAGGGGCCCAGTCCATGACTCTGTGTATGTGTATGAGACTGTGTAAGGAAGTGCATTTTGATGGTGTGGGCCAACCCAGTACTTCAAACTACAGAATCCTGGCAAATATGTCTGGAACAGGAACTGTAACATCTTTGACAGGCCTTCATCAAATTCAAAGACTCTGAATTTAAGCGCTTGGCATACACTAAAATGCCAAGAGGGTATGAGGTGCCACAGTTCCTATACCTTTCCATCAGTTGGCTCCTTGCCCTTCCCCCAAAATTTGTCAAACCTTGTCCGAGCTTTCTCTAGCACATCTGATGCAAGGGAACGCCCAGAAGAGGGTGAAACCAATGGAAGAGGTTTCGTTGGGGACTCCTGAGGTAGGGTGGATGCAGAGGCCTCCAGAATTCGGTATGGGTCTTGTGAGCTTCCTCCTCCAGCACTGCCCGCACTCATCTCAGTTGGTGTTTCCAGTAGCTCAGACCCAGACCTTCCTTTGTCAAATGATGGACCTTCCTGATGTCGGAAAGCAGTTCCAGCTGTCGAAGTGTCATACTGAAAGGGTAGGGTGGAAGGTTTCTCTTCTTCAAGTCCATTGACAGCTTCATGGCCACCAACGATTGAAGTGGTCATTGGGTCAGGAGATTTCCAGCCTGGAGAGCAAATGCAAAGTGAAGGCAATGCAGTAGTACATCATTAATACTCCTTATATTCCTGCATTTAAGTAGACAAAACAGGGCTAACCATATTCATTTTTTACTTCACTTCCTATAGTTATACATACATTTTAATTATATGTAAAGGGCATATAGTATATATCCTAACCATTTACACCAGTGTGATCTGCATCATTCATTCTTCATTTAGGCATTATGATAAAAATTACAAAGGGCTTAAAACTAATACTCAATTTAATTTTGATGAAACACATTTAGAATACTCATGACTACGGCTTCAAATTTAAGAAATTAAAACAAAATTATTTCAATTAAGGCCAACTTTCATCATGTGGGGAGTGCTATGCACATTTTATTCTTAAGGCAATATATGAAGAACTCTTAAACTGAAAAAATTAAATAGTTCCGTTCAGTGTGACTGGTTAAGATTTTCTTATTTCAATTATTCACGCCCTTACATGTTTCGGTCTTCAGAGGGACACCTTTACATCAATACAGTTAGAAGCCACTATCACAGTACATGTTCTAAAAGTTAAACTGACTTCCACAGTACTTCTATTTCATGTACTTCAAATGAGTTATCCCATGTATTTACACAATACTAGCAGAAAATCCAGTAACATTTCAACTGCAAATCATTTACTTTGTATCACCATCCTTTACATCCTCTCTTCCTTAAAACCTTCCTCACACTTCCTCATTTTTCCATCAAAATATTGAATTAAGGACGTGCCTGTGAGGTGGATTAACGACATCAAGCAAACACAGTGTACAGAACGTTGGAGGGTACAAGAGAGGCTGCCTGAGACCAGCCAAAAGATATTTACAGGGTTCATTCAGGGGTTTATGTGGTCCTAATGACACAAAAGCATGGACCAAAAGCTAAGAGGGTGTCTTATTGAACCCGACATCCTCAGGATCTGATATCGATAAGAGAGGGATTACTATGGCCACCCCTCTGAGGCTCAGATCACTTGGCAGACGAGAGCAGCATGGGCATTGAATAATTCACCCCCAAGCTGTCAAGAATGTTGCCTCTTTGGAGGGCACCCAGTCCTCTGGGAAAGAAGAAAGGGAGAAAATGATGGAAATATACATTCATCCTACTGAAACAAATTATAAATTGGGACAAAAACCTAACATGCAATATTCATTCAAAGTACCTTATACCACACGAAAGAAGCCATGGAAAACTGCTGTGTGAATAAGAGATACAGACTTTGTACAACAACCCTAAATCTATGAAGGTCAAAGAAGTTTAATGAGCTGTGGTGGAACAATTATTTTCTCTGTTACACCCAAAGAGAATGTAATAATTTATATTTATGTCAGTGTCTACATTAATGTCATACATATTTCAGAGTTTTGTTCTATCGATAAGATAATGTGAGGATGACACACATAATTTGAGGGAGCCATAAGGAAATTATTGTCACCTCAGCATTCCAAGACAAATTAATGAACTTGGGCTAGGGTGTATGAATATGATTTGAGCTGAAGGGTTACCTTCTGCCTCAAGTAGTGTACCTCAAGTATTCCAGGCAGAAGTGTATGCCATCAAGCATGTTTAGTAGACAATATAAATAGCAGCAACAAAGATGGAAACTTGTATATTCTGAGTCAAGCTGCAACTAAAGCACTTGCCAATTAGCAAATGAACTTGTTTGGGACTGCCATCAAACCTTCGTGAAACTGGCTGACATGAACAGACTATTTGGGTCTAGACATATGGTAGTAGCACATGGATGGAGAGAATTACATAATGAACAAGTTCAAGGTGGATGAGATTGGTGGAACATGTGGGAAGAATGTGAGAGATATGAAATACACATAAAAGTTTAATTGGAAAACACATTAGAAATAAATAATTTCGAAGTCCTGAGTGTTCATGGGAGAATAATTATTAAAAATAATATAACAAGCACAGGGTGTGAGGATGTTAACAGGATTCATCTAGCTCAGCTGTAGACTCTTGTGAAACGTTAAAACGAAGTTTTAGGTTTTATAAATGGCATGGATTGTCCTGACCAGCCCAGCAATTGTCAGGTTCTGAAAAAGGACTCCCCTCCATGTAGTTATTTAGGGCAATTACAATGGTAATTAGACATCGATTAATGGCAATAAGCTTTTTCTAGTGAACAACGGATAGTAATTAGAAGGAATATGTCTTGGAACAGCACTGTCTTCTATAATCAGTTGAACAAATATTTCATAAGAAGAAAGGAAGCCATTTTGCTACAGCCTGTGTGTTTACAAGGCATTTTGCAAGAAGCCATTGGCAAAACACCACCCCTGCATGAATGTCAGGAGTGAAAGCTTGCATTCAATGGATGTGGTGCGGGTAAAGTGATTGTTTGCGGAGAGTTCTCCAGATTAGGGGAACACCGATACCTTCAGCTGCTGCCAATCTTCACATGCTGATTCCAGGATCATCCTCCACTCTTCTCAATATGCAAACTTCTCGAAAACACGCCCATAACTCACCAGGCATTGAATTTTGGATATACGTTGACAGGAACCCTTTTGCTTATTTAAGTGAGTCCTATACCCCTTTAAATCCCGTAACCCGTTTTTTAAACACCTGTATGTATTATTCTTGAGATAAAGAGCATAAGCATATTGTGGGGACATCCCACATAGCACGCTGTTTCCACCGGTCTTTTAGACAACACTCACTCCTTAGTGAATATCGCATTGCTGGACGTTTCATTCTTATTGATATAAGCACGCTCTGCAAATTGTTGCTCCTCAAATGCAAGTTTCGCTCCGCCCACCGAGCATTGTATAAAATGTGGAGCACAAGCTCGCAAGTCAGTCAGTTCCACGTCAGTTCCACAGCGGTGTTCAAGCAGTCTACAAACAGCATGCTTCGTCACCAGCGCTCGGTCTTCGGAGGCATCGGCACTTTGCTGCACCAGGTACGACTGCCTCGGCTGTCTGGCGGTGTCACCCGACTCACTAGGCAACTCGGCCGCCTCGATTCGCCGGTGGTCATGCCCGACACACTGGGCAACTGGCGTAGCTACCGCCTCTCCACTCCTGCGACCGCGCTCGGCAAGCAAACCTTTTCCAGCAACCAAGCAACCTCCTGCAAAGGCCGCACTGCGGCCAGTCAACTGACTCAGCCACCACAACATACCGCAACCAACATCCCGTTTCTACCAGCATGCGCCGCGCTACTTCACCGGCCAAACATCCCAGCAGCCAACGGTCCTTTTCAGGACCTACAAACTATTCCGAAGAAGTGGGTTGTCATTGAAGTAATGACAAAAACCCCACAATATATTCATAATTCAGTACTTAAATATAGTGGTGAATGTTGACAGATTTGAAAGCCAGTCTCTCATACCATACTGAGTCATGTTCCTTTAGTTACACTCTGATGCATCCTGTTCATTTAAGTCATTGTATGACATTATTTTAAGGAAAACATTATGGTTATTATTATTTTGCTACATAATTTTGTGTATAGCTTACACAGATTTTGAAGAAGAAAGCAATAAAAAATCTCACTATTTCTTTTTATTTCTATTAGTGGTAACAAGCCATGGCTATTTAAATGGAAACATAAATTCCAGCTCTTCAGTGTGAAGACTGGACATTTCCTTGTGGAAAGAATCTGACCGGTTGTGGCTTTTACTGTGGAATGGTTACAAATTTTTGCTGTACAAACAGAAAGTAGAATTTTTCAACACATACACAAAAGTACTTATATTTCATGAAGAAAGTTCATACTAACTGATAATAGACTTATATAGAAAGACATGCTTATTCCTTAGCTGTAGTCATGCTTTATCAGTTAAGAAATGTATATTATGTCAACTGAAAAATAATTATGAGCAGTGACTAGGGATGGATGTACAAGGAAGTGATCATTGCCTACTTTAAGGCACTACCACAGCCTGAGGGATAACTGCGGTGAAAGAGAAGTGGATGGAGACTTTTCATGCTTTGATCCATGTGAAGCACAAAAGATGGTGGAAGATGAAGACCACATTTCCTTTGAGGGACCAGAAATAAGGGGAGGGAGAAAACTCATGCACACTAATTAGTCTTGAATGGGATTTCAACACAACTATTGTTAACTACTGTAACTATTTTGTTAGTGAAACTAAGTAGCACCAGAATATAATGTTTTATAATATATCACTTTTACGGAATTTTAAATTTGTGTTTCAGAAATGTCATTGATTCTGATCGCTATTTTAAATGCAAAATAAAACTGAATGAAAAATGCATATAACAAAGGATCATTGAAATATGGCACAATTATTCCAATGTCAATCAACATGCCAAGTTAGCTGCACAACCTGAGGTCTGTTCCAGCAATTCTGGTGGGGCTGACTGTGGTGCTGGTGGAGGAACAGTAGGAGGAGTCCAAGGTTTCACTTCACTATGCGGCCGATTCGTCAGTTCTCCTGGAACATGATGAAACACAATGCAAATCAATTTGATATGTGTTTACTTCACTCAGATATGAAGCATGATTAAGCAAAGAAACAAGGAACCACTAGTGCAGAAAGCAGACATGGCATACAGCCATACACTATTGTGAAAATTCTTGATTGCTTCCCCTAAACTTTACTTCTCTAATTGCGTTCATAAAAATATATCCATATAAATTTCACTTTCTAAACTGTGGAAATACGTGAAGTATTTATTGCATGGAATAAACAGGCTCAAGTTAACAATTGATAGAACAATATATATACATGTGTGCGTGACTCACATTTACACAAGATAATGAATTGGTACAGAGTTTGTAATATGACTTAACTTATTATAGTACTTAATGTTTTTAATTAGTTCTACAGTCTTATGTGCAACAATTTATTAAAACATAATAACAGCTAGTAACTTTAAAAGATTTCACAACATGTTTCGACCGAAATGGTCATCATCAGGTGTTAAAAGTTGTGAGTGAGGAAACTGCTGTCTTTCTGCATTGATGTTTAGCTGTTGAATTGAATTGAATTTATTTACATTCTATAAATCCTAAGCAGGTTAGTACCTTTGGATACAGAACATGTCAAAAGGTTACATACATAAGTACAGGCAATTTTAGCTTAAAAATTAATATAACTTAATTTTACATCATTCTCTATTTACATTGAAGTATTCATCTAAAGAGTAGAAGGAATGAGCATGTAGATAATTCTTTAACTCTGATTTAAACTTTTTAGTATCATTGCCCAAGTTTTTAATACTTTGTGGCAGACTGTTGAACACTTTTATGCCAGTAAAGTAGACTCCTTTTTGATATACTGATAAAGTTGATGAGGGTAGGTGGAAGTTATATTTTTGTCTAGTATTCATGTTATAGACATCAGATATAAGGTTCCCTTAGTGTGCAGGTGTGCACTGGAAACAATACAAAGAACATACTATGATGGGAACATATCACAGCAAGGAGGAATACACACATGCACAATAGGGGAACCACATATCAACAGGTAAACATCAATGCAGAAAGACCCTGTTTTATCACCCACAGCTTTTTAACACCTGATGATGACAATTTTGGTCGAAATATGTCATGAAAGCCTTTAAAGTGATGAGCTTCTTTTTAAGTATTTATAATTTGTTGCATATAAGACTGTAGAACTAATTAAACCACTAAGTGTAAAGTGCAACAGGATGCTACAATATAATATCAAAACAGTATAAAAACTAGCTAACCAAACCGCAGTAATGTACAGTAAACTTTCCATCATCTGACATGTATGGGGAAAGGACTGTTCTGCTTACGTGTATCTGCCAGTTGCATGAGAAAAATTCTAACAAAAGCCTAATTCAAAGTCAAAACTACATAGTTTCGTTTTAGTTGCTGTGTGAGAATCTTCCTGGGCAACACAGGGATTAATGCGTGAAAGAATATGGATACATGTGCCGCAACATGACCACAAATTCAGTCAGAATGTAATCTAATGGCACCCATGTGAGGAATTATGACAGCACTGCTAATGGTGACAGGGAGAACTACCACATGGCAAGTGAAAAAATATACATTGTAAATTTGCTTTTGAATAACTTCATAAAAATCGTATTTTTTTTTTTAATTTGGAGGTTGCATGAGAATTTCAGATGCCTAGATATCAGACAACCATGAGTTTACTTTGTTCTTAATTACACCTATTTCAGCCATGATGCTGTATTCTTATAGGCATTATTTCGCATTAAGAAATATGAAGTTGTGCAGTAATATTGAAACACTAGGATGATATATCACGAATATTTTCATTCAGTCATGACGTATGGGATAGTTTTCTGGGGTAACTCACCAGATTCTAAGAAGATTTTTCTCTTACAGAAGAGAACTGTTAGGGTGATGATGGAATTGAAACAAAGAGATACATGCAGGCCGGTATTAAAAAACTGAACATATTAACACTGCCCTCCTAATATATACGATGGGGTAAGCAAAAGAAACCGAACTAATTTTTTTGTGGGCAGAGCTTTTGTAGTACTGCGTTTTGCCGCTATGAGCGCATAGAGCTAACATTCCTGAGTCGATAAGCCGACTACCGTTGCTTCAGAAGGTAAGGACTAGTTTCGGCAGAGTTTATAGTGACAACTGTTTTGTGTGATCGTCGTTTTTGCAATGGCCCGAACACATGAAAATGTTGAAAAAATTCGTGAAATCATCAAGGAAGATCGACGACGGACCATTGAAGAAATTGTGGAGCTGTCGGGAGTGACTTGGAGCTCAGTTCAGCGAATTTTGACAGAAGATTTGGGAATGAAAAGGGTGGCTGCGAAATTCGTGCCACGACTGCTGACTGCTGAACAAAAACAAGGTCGCGTGGAAGCATGCTGTGCTTTGAAAGAAGAGTCCCGAAATGATCAAAACTATTTTTCAGCGTTTTGCTGATGTTGCTGAGGTGAAGGAAAAAAACGACGGAGGCGCTGTCAAGCATCTCAAAAGATGAATTTAGACAATGTTTTGAAAAATGGAATAAAAGACTAGACAAGTGTATTAGTGTAAGTTGAGAGTACTTTGAAAGGGATTGAAGGTTTGTGCTTAAAATTTGAATAAATAAGTTAAAAAAAATAAGTTCGGTTTCTTTTGGGTACCCCCTTATATTATCTTTGATGAGTTTTATGAAAAGTAATCTTGAGTATTTTATTTTTAATGATGCAATCCATAATAAGACCACAAGACACAGAGGGAATCTACATGTATTGCAGTCACATTTAGCAGTAAGACAAAAAGGAGTCTATTATATGTGTGTTAAAATTTTCAACAGTTTGCCTCTCTATGTAAGAGAGTTGGTACAAGACAGGTAACTTTTCCTGGGAAAAATAAAAGAAATATTAATCAATAATTCGTTTTATTCAGTTGATGAATTTTTGCTTTACTGTAAGTATTTATAGTCAGAAATATGTATATTTAGGTATATTTCATTACATTACTGTGCAATTTATATATAAACAAGTGACAACTATAGTTCTTCATTGCATGCATATGTATTGTGACATGTTGACCCCTACCCCCCCCAGCGGCACGTGGCGTGAACGTAACGCTCGCGTTACTACGGTAATAGGCGAGTTCCCGCCCCGCCACTCCCCTCCGCGGTGACGTCACCGAGGGATATCGCGGTCGCTAGGCAACGCGAGTCAACAGCGGCGACGTTACGGTAGTAACAGCGGTTACCTCCGCTAGCGTTACATAGCAACACAGCGACATAGCAACAAGGGTGCCTATTACGTGGCCGTTTTCCCGTACTGTCCGATCGAGGCTACATAGGGAGCAGCGAAGGCTATTCACAGTTCAGTTGTACTGTGACAGCCGCCAAGTCGAGACGTAAAGTCAGCCAGTCAGTTGTATTCTGGCATTTGGAGTGTACTAATTGTGATACTGCAGATAGCAGTAATCGTAAATCTGTAATTTGGGTGATTGTATGAGCGAATGTGAAATAAAATTCGCTACATCGAATACATCGAGAATTTATTTGTCGCGATATACGCCCGATACGTGACAGTATGTATATATATGAGTAGGAAGGAGAATCATTATGTATTGCTAATTATCTTGTTGGTGTAATTGTATGTGTAACATTGTATCTATTTAATTGAGGTATTCAGTTTAGATTTTAATTATGGTGGAATTGATGTCTCTGCAATTTTATCTGTGATTGTCTTGTGACTGTTGTTTGACAAGTTTTATATTCAGTGCCAGTTGCACACTTAAGAATACTCTGAAACGCTAATGTATGTATGTGTGTGTGTGTAGGCAGTATTGTTTCCTACACTTCCTTCTACCAATTATAACGCAGAACTCATAACACAGGCTCATTATTCCACAATGTATTATACTGAAATCAGAAAATGAAAGACTTCTTGAAGCCAGAATTTTATGTCAAGTTAAAAGGAAACATAAATTTTCAGCGAAATAAAATAAATATTGACAATTATAGGCTTACTTTATTGACATACACTCTAAGAGACAAAATGAAGACAACTCATACGATTGTTCATCATGAGTCTGTACAGGAACTACATTATTATTATTACTCAAAATTGGAACAGTTTTGTTTTCGAAAACATATGCCAAGATTGGCTATAGACCTAGTAAAGAAAATTGGAATGCCTCCCTACTCTCATGACATGGTGCTTACCATTTCTTAACTTCAAATATCTACAAAAAGTCACATTAATGCATATTCAGCTTTACAGTTTTTTTTTTGTTTGTTTTGGGATGAACAGCAGACAAGGTTTTGTGAACAAGTCATTCATTTTCAGTTCTCATAGAATTCTATATGGATATTGTATTACATAAGAAGATTTTTTCATATTATGAACAGTTAACATGACAAAATAAGATTAATCATAGGAAAAATGTATTTTAAATGGTGTAAAGACACACAGAGTTCTTTTTATGCTTCAGAAGTTTCTGGTCCATTGGACAGCAACTATTTGCCATATGTTCATACTCTACATGAACATAAAGTTGAGAACACATGGGTATGATCATACTCCATGCAGAAAATCTGACTTTACTGTATGTTCACATTCTACAGTAACGGAAAGTGAAAAATATGTGGGTATGATCATATTCCATGCGTACTCCATGCAGCACCTCTGATGTGACTGCATTAATATTTTTGTACTCAGCAAAAGCTTAACCCATTCACTTCTAGCCTAAACATTTATGTGAATATTGTGTGTGCTACTCAGTTATAAACACAAATGAGGTATAAGATATTTTTATAGTAATGCTGTTCCCATTGTCATTACAAAAAAAACTTTATTATATACAATCACATGTGTTACTATATAAATTACACAATTTAAGACATTTTTTTCTTTCGTGCCTATATAAAAAGCTAGTTTTGTTTCCAAACTAATTCCTTTATGGCTCTTGAAAATTTGAATTAACACCAGCCATATGACTTGGAAGCAGTTAGTCAATTACTGCAAAGATTAGAAGATTCCTGTGTGCTGTGTACAAAAACTTATAGTTGCCGTGCTGTGCTGAAAGCCATGATGAATGAAATTCATTGCACCAGAACCCACAATTCAAGCAGCAGATATGTTCACTCTTTTGCATTTGTGTGCACTTTCATAATACAATAAATTAATCATGAATGAAAATGCTTAAGATAAAATTCTCTAGAATATCTGTAATTCTTTTACTTGACACAGCCTTGATTAAAGAGAAGCAAAGTGTCAATTTCTCCAATAGCAACATTTACTGCTTCCTTATACACCCCCAAATAGGCAAAAAAGGTAACATTGTCCCTGTGCTTAACTAATTAAGCACTATGCCGTGAAGGCGTATGGGGGAGTGGATGTATAGATCCACATTTTCTTGGCCTTGGCACTATTTGGAGGTGAGTGATCAGCTCCATGCCCTGCCTCTTTAACCTGGGGAAAAAGCCCCCCACTTCCATTGGGTAGGAGGCTGGGTGGGCCTCAGTGCCAGTCTGGACAACATGGAGAAGAGGAAATTCTTGACACTACCAGAGCTCAAACTTCAATCCCTTGGTCATCCAGCCCGTAGCTAATCACTATATTGAGCATGCTAGCACGGTTCCTATAGACCCACAAATATGACTATTATATGTAATGTAAGACAGTAAAACAAACTAATGCTATGACATATACTTCAGTGAATAAATTTAAAAAGGCCTGATTGTGGACTTGCTAGGTAATTAAATGACTATGAAAACTCAGTGATTTGATAGTTTTCATTTTGAATTTCCTGTATTGTTTAGCCCCCCAGCCTAGCGAATGAAACACATTCTTAAGATATAAGCAAAAACAGTTATATAAGTACAATTAAAGTACAATTAATATATTAAGTAATCCAATTCAGCACTGAAATTATCAAACCCACAGCATCAGCACCAAAATTACAGATTCACAGCAGCATGCAACAACAATGCCAAATCTGCAACTCACAAACCTACCTGTACATCATGCATGCCAGAATGCTTCAAAATATTTTACATAGGCACATGGAGGAGGGGATAAAACAAAACAAAAAACCTGATGTTTAATATTCTGCAGTACATATGAGTTCTTAGAGAATTATAATGAAGAGTACTGTTCTGAGACTGCAAAATTAAATATTTAAAATTCTGTTTGGCATTATTTTCTTTTCAATAAACACATATGCAGTTGATGTTTCTACTTGATTCTATTTGGCAAGTTATCAAACCTTCTCTTTCTTATGTGGACTTCTGCAGATCAATATACTAATGGCCAGAATTATGGATGTCATAGTTTTCAGTAGAACAAAGAAGGCACATATTTTATTCTACTCACTTGCAGTTTCAACGTAACATGATTTTCAGTAACCTGCGAAGTGTAAACACTAAAAACAATTGTACCAACAAATTTTTAAATTGCTGAAAGCCATGTTACTAAAATTATTCCGAAAGACATATTGCTTTATTCTGAAAAGTCATGTCATCATTATCTGTTTATTTTGATATGCATATGAAGTTAACAACGTCAAAATATTTACAATGTCACATAGTAACGTCCTGGTTTATAGTGTCTTCAGTGTTGCAGGCACTAATTTTAAAAAAGAATAATGCTTTGATGAGGCAACATAGTCAAGATTGTCAAAAAATTGTCTTATAGATATAACTTCCTTAATTTTTGCCACTAGTGTATATGAAAGGAACTTATAAATGTAGGTTCATGCTACAAAACAAAACATATTTATCGCTAAAGGGGATAGTAACACCAGATCCATACCTCTGTACAACTTCACATTTGGCATGGCTACAAGAAATAACAACACCCGAAGCTTCAAACACAAGGTGAAAATATTCAGTGTATATTATCATTAATATGTCATGCAAACATATGTAAACTTCAGTTAGATCATATAAATATAACTGCATGAAAGTAATAACTAAAATATAACATAACACTCATAGGTAATTCTCTGCTCACTCGTCAAGTAAACAGTTTAAGGCAACAACATAAAAGCACAGTTCAGGTGGAAGGACTAAACAGAAATAACACTTCTTTTTTGTAAACAATTGCTCTTGCATAGCAAAACAATGACCTTAGTATTAAGAGAAATACAATGCTATTAGAAAATGCATTACATGTAACATTACTTGCCCAAAATTTTAGGGGGTTATTTCTGAAACCTAATGGAAGATAGTGTATAATGTTAACACGTATTTCACTGTTAGGGTGTCATGAATAAGTGGAATTTTGTAATAATTCCACACACATGCTCACATGCACACGCACACAAGTGCATCAACATTGCTCACTTCACCCAACAAGTGATTACTGAGGAAGAGGCTTCACAGTGATTCAATAATATTCATTCCCCGCATCAGCGCCAATGCTGCAGATACAACTGGCCACGAAATTCTGGTTTTATGATCGATACTGACAAGGCTAATTGCTAAGAGAATTTCAGTGCAGAATTCAATTTCATTGGAACATGATTATAGCCATCATGTACATAAGCATGTATTTGTGTGTGTATGTATATTGATTGATCAGTAACTGTCAGATGACAGGTCCACAGTCTCTTCCAAAACAGTTCCTCCACTTAATGTGATCTTCTATTTTTGGAAAGAGACTATCCAGGAAAAGGGATAATGTGGTAGTTTTTCCATTTNCCTGGGTTCGACTCAGCCTCTAACAGAAAGGCTGACAACCTTACTGCCATCTTTGAGCCGAGTCTAGGTGGGAACCTCAACGTCTCACAACCCTATGGGCCTTCATGGCCTGTTATAGGGATAGCTTTACTTTTATGTATATTTATGTATGCATATATGAGGGTTATTCGGAGAGTAACCTCTGGTGAGCTATGCTGTAGTGGCTATGTCTGTCACTACAGCACAGTAATAACACCACCATGGGGAAATACACAACATCAACTTTAAATATTTAACTCCAAGTACAAATAACTTGAGAATGATGCCCAGAGTAATACGTGTAGCCTTCACATGATAATAGGATGGTCAAAAACCAACACAACCCACATTCTAAGGAAAGATCCCAGTATGCAGTTACCCCACATCACAACAATCACTATCATAGTGGATCAACCAAACAACACATATATGGATATGTAGTGGGCACAGGATCTTAAATAAAATTTATAAGTTATAAAGACCTTAATTCGATTTTAGTGTCATATAGTCTGCCATGACTTTGCACCAAAATTTGATACATCAGAAACTGGTGCCTAATGTTTAAATGCTTCGTGTGTTTGTGTGTGGTGCGCGCATACATGTATGCAAATATGCAACAGATATGGTAACAACTAAATAGTGTACTGCAAGAAGAAAGAATGATGTTCTCATTGTCTTTGTTGAAAAGAGCAACAAAACTCAACTGAGCAGAATGCACTAAGCATAACTGAATCTCATGACTCTTTCTGTGATTGTGTGGTTTCTTTAATAATAGCAATACTGAATTTAAATAGTCTTCTCTTATTACTGATAAAAATATTTATGATATAAGTACTGTGAGAGTATATTATAATTCAAGCAGATCTGAAGTAATTTGTGCACCGCTTTGAAAACCTGTAGTACTAGTGTAAAACTTTGAGTTTCAGTGAGGGCGAGATATGTATTATGAAAGTTCAAGTTGAAAGAAGGAGAATTGACTTTGATGACATATGAATAGAGTGCAAATTAATTACTGGTAAAGTCTCATCACTCTACTGGCAGATTATTAACAGCAAATAATTATTAATTATCAAAAAAACAAGTTTAAAGTTGAAGAGCAGTAAGTCCTGACCAATTGATAGTATGGTAAGGTAAAATGACATCGACCTCTTGGCAGGATACAGAAAGGCTTTGGGCTATTACAATTTTATCCCATCAACATTGTACAAGGATAGCATGCTTTCTACTGTCACATTAAGGGTCACAGTGATATATACAGTATGTTACATTGAAGGACTATTACTCCATTTCTATTAAAAAGAGGCAGGGGAACCCTCAGTAATAGATTTTAAATGTCACTGAGCGCACGACATAATGTAATACACATCATTTAAAAAGAATTCAACATAATCCTTACCTTCATGAACATTCTGAGTGACGGTAAAAGTCTTCCCAGTGTCAAGAGGGACGGTCCAATTGACTGGTTCTGGAGAGCGCATGAGTATTTGTTCAGGTGATTTTACACGAGTTGGTTCTGGTGGAGATTTGACTAATGCTGGCTCAACCTCTGGTTCCTCTTTATTTAGCTGCTGGTCTACATCATTCTCGTTTTCACCACAAGCAGCACTGCCTGTAGCAAAAATAATGTATCATTCCCAAATTAAAAATATTGCAAGTTGCATTCCAGTTTTAATGTAGATTATTATGATATACTTCCATGCAAATGTCAGCTTCCACTTAATCGCCACCAATATGAAAAATGCTCCTTGTAATATACTGTTCATACACACAATTGAATTAAAGAGAAATTATACTGTTATGGTAATATAAAAACACATATTTCTTAAATGAAAGTAATATTTCATAGAATTTGTAGTATTTTCTGATGTCATTTTTGTAAACAACATTGACCAGCTAACAGAAAGTCCATATTAATTTCTTATGGTGAACGTACTGAAGTTTGAGAATATGTATAAAGATTTAATGCGAAAATCTTATGCTTAGAATGTTTTCTTATTTGTGCATTTCTCTAGTTTCTGCTTCACTTCAAGTCTCATGGTTAGAATGGAATACTGTGTTGTTGATTTCATAAAGAATACCAACATAATTTTTTTAACATGATTCAAGATGGATTTTAGGTCCTCACACCAGTGACCATGATGAATAATGTTTTGTGGGATGTTATGCTGTGTAGCCTGGTAGAAGTTCACCAATGTTTCTGGGAAATGTTCTGCTTCTACATACAGGGTTGAGGAATAAGCCAAGCAAGCATGACCCAGGACTTGAATGTACTGTGGCAGATCCTTCAACCAACCCGTCTTGTCTTGGTGTCCAAGCCCTGTCCAGACACATGACCAGACTGCGATGTAAAGCGACACTTAGGTTTAAGCATATTGGTAGGTGCAGAATTTGTTGCACGTAGAGGGAAAGTAGCCCCTTATTTTCACAAGAACAGTCCTCATAAGGGCAGTGAATTGTTCATCTTCTATCTCTGCAGTCTTCAGGGCCATCATGACTTTTTCCAATAGTGTTATTTGTGCTGGGTACTAGGTTCAGTGCTTTCCCAATCTGGTCCTTGTGTGCTGGGATTTCACAGTTGGCTGTTGGTGGTGATGCTGCAGCATACATATATCTGCTCTGGAGTGATAAGTTTGGATAAAACATCGCAGTCAGTGAGTGGCGTCCAGGATGCAGCTTTCTTCACTGCCGCTCTTGACTGGATCAACTACATGTCTTCAGCTGTAAGGATGCTGGGCCTTGCAGATGCAGAACTTCGGTATTATGAAGAAAGCAGTCTTCTGGGATTTGGCACCGTGTATATGTGGTGTTAACCGACGTTTCGGAGGAACGTATCGCCCCCATCTTCAGGGTAGAAGAAAAAGTATAAGAAATCTGCAAGCGACAACACCGTGAGAAACGGTAAAGCAGACTGTTTCTCACGGTGTTGTCGCTTGCAGATTTCTTATACTTTTTCTTCTACCCTGAAGATGGGGGCGATACGTTCCTCCGAAACGTCGGTTAACACCACATATACACGGTGCCAAATCCCAGAAGACTGCTTTCTTCATAGTCACCGCCGTGAAAGCCTCAAATCTTACATTCGGTATTATGGCTTTGTTGCTTTTCCATGGGCACTCTTGATGAAAATGACCACCCTCGCAAAAGAGACATTTTAAGGGCTGTTTGCAGTGGGCCTAGAGGTGACCTAAATGCTGGCACTTGTAACACTGCATAGGACCGCGGCATCCCCTGCTATGTCACCGCGGGGTGGGGGCGGGGCGGAGTGTTGTTACCGTAGTAGCGACAGCGCCTGATGTTGTTACGTCACTGCTGGCGGGGGCTGCGTGCATTGTATCATTCGATGTGTGTCACATCCAACGATACAACGCACACAGGCACAAGAGTAGAACACATCATAAGACATAATATACACTCTACATTAAAAACATAAGGAGAATGACCCCCATGTGGATGATCAAAAATACACATGAATTTAAAAATATGACGTATGAGATAACAGGTTTTAAATACATAAACTTTACTATTACATAAGGACGTATACAAATTTAATATTATTTGTAAATGGACATATAAAGGCAAGCAGTGAAATGGTTGACGGATCAATACACCTGAAGATGACAGCATACTGTCGAAACATGTAGTGTAGAAGTGGTAAATGGGATTGTATGCACTTGAAGACTTTTAATATATACACATTATGAAAATGAATCAATGCAACAGGACGCTAAAATACAACATAGTGTATATATACCTATTATATGCTGTACATATGTATTTGACAATAGCTGAGACTCTTAACAAGGGGCAAAGTATGTGTATATATAAATTATAAACACTATCAGCATGAAACACTGACTACAGCTTTTGTCAAAAGTGAGACCTGTCCTCTTGTCAGAAAGAATGCCCCACAATGACATAAGAGCAACTCTTCTGACAAAAACTAAAATCTGGTCATGAGCCACTGATGGGCGTCAACACCAAGCCAGACAGTCTGACTGATTGATCATCATTAATAAAGTGGCTTTGATTTTTCTCACTCATTATGCATGCTGCTTGCTTCCTGCTGACTGTTTGTGTGGCTTACTCTTCAACCCTGAAGGTGGATGGAATATGTTCCTACAAAACACTGGTGAACTATTACTGGACTATACAGGATCACAGGTCACATTCATGTTCACAACACTTCATCAGTAACACACTGACAATGTCAATTAAAACATATTACAAAGGTAATTCATGTATGAATATACCAATTCAGTGGAAAGCTAAGTGAAATTATTCAGACTCCATGTCCAGAGTTTATCAAAATATGCTTAATATACTCAGTAAGAGAGGCCAGTGAATATTCCTACTAAAAATCAACTTTGGTGGGCACTGTGATGGCTGAATTAGCCTTTCATTTTAGTACTTATCACATAGTCAATTTAATGATAATTTGTAAGCCATTTTGTGATTTATTAACGTGCTAAATTATGTACATGATATACGTGTGATTTTGAGAAAGTATTAAGATAGAATAATTAAAATCATCATGAAACCAACAATAAGCATTCCTGCAGATATTGAAGATTATTTACACTGAATTAAAAAATGTCACCATTAGATCTGTGGAAAAGTGATTTGGTTATTAAACTAAGGAAACAAATAAGATCACAAATATATCTATATTATTGAAAGTTCTCTTCATATTGGCTACTGGTACAAGGCTAGAATTTGATAATGACAAACTCACTTTTATTATGTTACATCATGCAGGGTACACAAGACCAACAACAATCACAAAGAACAATGTAACACCCAACATGTGAAAGCATAGCAGCCCAGCCATTTTGAAGGAGACTTACCATTGTCACACAAAATTTAAGTTAACTGCATGATTCCAACCAAGAAAATAATGACACAGTTTAGAGAAAACTTCTTCAGTTACTCCACAAAAGTTCTGCAAATGTTTATCTTGAACTGCAAGTATTAAACATGAAAACAAAATCTGGGTCTTGTCGAAATGAAACATTATTTTTAAGATGTACGGTCATGGTATCATTCAAACACTGATGCCCTCAGACCTTCATACTCCACGGTTGTGCAATTGACATTATACATGGGAGAACTGTCGTTATGTTACTGTCAGTAAAACATGAGAGAACAGAGTTACAACAGTGCAGTCTATACAGAACTATAATTAAAAGAGTTGTTTACCAGTTCTTACTTATTACTTATCCAAATTATCCAAGTTCTAGATAATAAAGTTACATACAACATACAACTTAAGACTTAACATTAAGTGTCATACATATTACTGATTGTAGCTATATGACCATACTTTACAGAATGGAAACAAAAATGGTAATAAAGTCTGAACTTGAATCTATTCTAGGTGGAATTATGTGAAAATACCATATTGTCAATATGGCACAAAACACAGATGTTTATATTATTTTATACATATAAAACACATTTAGTGCATAATAAAGTTACATACAACATACAACTTAAGACTTAACATTAAGTGTCATACATATTACTGATTGTAGCTATATGACCATACTTTACAGAATGGAAACAAAAATGGTAATAAAGTCTGAACTTGAATCTATTCTAGGTGGAATTATGTGAAAATACCATATTGTCAATATGGCACAAAACACAGATGTTTATATTATTTTATACATATAAAACACATTTAGTGCATGGAATTCAATGCTAACAGTCCACACACCTCTCACATACGTTAAACCTGCTGTACTTACACACAAACTAAGTGTTAATTTGAACTGTTACTTACACATTAAGTGAGATATTGCAATTTACAGGTGAAGAAGTGTAATTTCAACTACAGCACTAGCTACACTATAAAGTACCGAGAGTTCAACATGATGGGTATGTGGGATATGATATTTTGATACAAGGAGCAATGGCCTTAGAAAATAGATATATCATGTATGAAACCCAGCTCTAAAAAATTAATATATTATTTTTTACTATAATTTAAAAACACCATACATTTTATTTTCTTTGCCCCAAAAATGTTGCTTTTGGTTTCCACAACTTCATGTTTGATTCAGAGCTAAACTCACAAGCAAATATTTTGCCTTCTCACTTACATCAATAGTAGATTACTTATCTCTACTATCAGGAAACAGGGGACTTTAAATCCTCTGGTAGTGTAGGGATAGTGGATAGTTTTCAAATCAGGGGTTATGTTATTAATGTTTAAAAAATATTGTGCTCAAATAGCTAAGTATGCACATGCACAATTACAATAGCATAACACATGAACACATGGCCAATAAAGAATTAAATTCCTGCAACAAGTGCTGATTCAAGTGAAGTTCAAAATAGGCTATAATGACTTCTTGCCAGTTTAAATTTCCTAGAACTATTTATCACTTCTCTAAGATGTAGCGAAAATGTTTAGGTTGTAAAACTGTAGATTCATTACATTCTCAAAATGACTCATGTGTGAATAATGTAAATTACATTGCTACCAATTCAAGAAATCACATCCACAGGAAAAAAATTCCATATTATGCATCATAAACTCATTCAATTCTACCAATTGGAGACAAGAGACAAATAAAACTGAATTATAGATCTCCTGTCAGATTAATATTTGTAATTATGAGATCAGTCCCTTGACCAAAAGATAGGAAATAGATGAAATGAACAGATACCCCATAATACAGACTGAACTAAATTAGCCTCTAACAGCATCACCACACAATTCCTGGCATGAATATAAGTGCTCACATGTAACATTTCATTAGAATATTAAAAGAATGATTTTTCAATAAATATAGGGCATAGTTTATTTTACATTTGCCAATAAATGCCCCTTCTGTTCGGAATTCCTAAGAAACTGCTTATCAGTTATTGGCATGGCAACACCATTTTGGCAAAAGGAAATAATTTGGGAATGTACCTTTATCAATGGAGCTGTCTATGTTTCTGCTTTGTTTAAATGTGGCATGCATACACAACTATTAAATAATCACAAATTCAGGACTAAGAACCAAAGTAATTTATGAAAAATGCTTGTAAGATCTGATTACTTTTATTGCTGGTTTGTGATTGATGGCTGCATTCACATAATATTTTGTGTTATTCTTTCAAATCCAGTATTTCAGTACCACACTTGAAGCTACTAGAATCTCATCATGAGATTCCAAAGAAGTAAATAAAACTGGGTGTTATATTCATTCTAACTCACTCCATGGAGCTAAGCCCTTCTTGAGAAGCTGCCAGTCAGACAGCTATTCAAGAACTTTCCAACATTTATGGAACCCAAATGTTCATTGCTGTGTTCACAAGGGCCTCCACTAGTCCATAACCTGAGCTAAATCAACCCAGTACATACCATCCTATCCTATGTCTCTAAGATCCATTTTAATATTATCCTCATACCTATGTCTAGGTCTTCCTAATTTTTTCTGGCTTTCCCACCTAAATCCTATATGAATCCACTTCCCCCATGCATATTACATGCCCTGCTCATCTCATCCTTGAGTTATATGCATACTGTTCATGTACCTTCTGTTTTCCAGATCCTATGTAAGAATAAATTTGTATTTGACTGAAGAAGTCACTATCCTAACATGAATGAATGAATGTATAAGGGGTGGGCCTTCCTGGCCCTTGCACTGCGACCTACAGTGATCTGTTGTACTTAAACTGATATAATCTTTAAAACAATTTTCTTGCAAAATGCAGTGCTCAATACACTGCTAAGTATACTCCTGTTTATTACTGGATGTCATAACTTTTAAACTTCTGTTATTATTTTTCATATGCCAAACTGGCTTTGTTGTAGAAACATCTGTCATGCACTATATCAACTTTAAGAATGTCTTCCATTTCACTCTGTGCTGAATGTGAGGAGTGAAAATCAACAATTTATAATACAAAGACAAACTTGGGAAATAGTATGAATTCTTCACTTGCAGAAGATTTAAAACTAGTTTCACCAAAAATCAGTCTATGTATCACATAGACTTTGCACATATACGAGTACTCACGAAACACTAATTAGTTTATTAATTTCCATCACGATATTGTGTTCTTTGTACATATCAGGAGTATGATCAAATTCTGAATATCAATATTAATGACTCAACTCAGTTAGGAGTCGAAAGCATTGTAGTCACTCTTTTAGTATTCCCAGCAGTAACAGAGAAGCTCCTCTAGGCTCCTGATTTTTCTGTATGTTATTCAAATCACAGTAATTTGGAAATATGTTCCAAGAAGCCTAATTTCTTTGTGGATTATATAAATGACTTCACTGTACTATTGCAGAAAATAGTAATTCTTCTTTGATTCCCCAAGCGAGAAACATATTGTTTGAATAACTGTATGCAATTCCTGAAGGCTTCTCCATTAGAAGAATGTGTACAAACTCGAAAATAATTCATGCGTTGCATATGTCATTAACTCAGCAAAATCAGGGAAACTACTGCAGGCATATGTCAGTTTCATAGCAACACAGATCAGCAGGCTGGTTAGAGGTGGAACAACAAACATCGACTAGACAGACATCACATGACCACATGGCACGGTACAGCTACTTACTAGTATTTTTTCGTTCTGCAACTTTGGTCCTGTCGCCTCTGATTTTAGCAACCTGCACCCCATTCACCGATTTGGCAGGTTTGGGTTTCGTGGCATGGTGGGATTTGCCTTCTTCAGCTTTTAAGGGAACAGAGCTACTTTTCGGACGGGAAGGACCGGTAGTAGATAAGGAGGCTAGAAAAAGGTGAGAAGCAACTTGTTAAGACTTCCCCAACAATCTCTGGTTGTCAGGAGTAAGGACCAGCACACAAAACTCCAACACAAGCGAGCTCACATAAATGCATCTCAGTTCTGTGTATGAAAAACATTACTAACATCTATCGCCAATCCTGTAGATCAATGTGTTAAGGAAATTATCCATGGTGAAAGATATTGGCAGGAACCAAATTTGATGCTGATGTTAAGTCTGTTGAATATTAGATAATACTGATGTTTTGTGATATAATCATCAAAATGTAGAACTACAGCTTGTATTCCTTTCATGTCACTTCATTCATGGCCAAATTTGTTTCTACATTTGACACATTTACTCCATCATTAACTAAATTTTAAATTACAAGTGTAAAATATTTCAAGAACTTTCATTTTCACTTTATTCTTATTATTGTTGATATCATCATCATCCTCACCACCACCAACACCACCATCATCATGGTGGCAGTGATCTCGAACATAACAACACTGTCATCACATCACCACTATGACATCAGTTCAATATTATTCCAATAACACCAGCCCAATTTATTATTTTTACCATTTAAATAGGAGTAACCAGACAAAGCAAATTATCTATTTTTTTTTTTACATTCCCTACAGAACGGGCAACACTTTGTAAGATGAGGCACCGACTAAATAATTAACATTTATGTTATTACATCTATATTACAAGCCTCCAATAACAGTTTTTTTATATACATACAAAATATAGAATACTCCAATTTGTCTGTGGGAACACAACAAAATCACAAAAACCAATGACTGACTCGATAATGTAAAGCATCAATTAAAGAATTTTATTCTTGTGTAAGTTTTGAGGTTTTCACGGTGATGACTATGAAGAAANCGAAGAATACACGGCGCCAAAACCCAGAAGACGACATTCTTCATAATTTTATTCTTGTTTTATACTATAACTTTTGTTTTTTATATCTCTAATTTATTGTATTTTTACATCAAGTATTTTAATATATTAATATTATTGTATCAAATTTTATTAATACTGCAGTTCAGTGGTGCATATATATTGCTTTGCCTGATGATGGCTATTAGTAGCTGAAACATGTAGCAGAGCCAAAACTAGGCACTGACATTGATATAGTTGTGTTGTGACGGTTTTAATAAGGAAGTTTTATCTATCTTTCAGTTTTGTTCTTTATGATCTTGCAAATATTTTTCACCAGGGAATCTATTCTAATGAAAGAAAAGCTGTTGGAAATGAAAACCGCTACAGTCAAGCAATCCTCAATGCAATGTTAGTCTCAAACTTGGAAAAGAAAAGGTTGTGAGTAGCAAACCCATCACTGTCCAGTGATTCCTAGAACATTCTATTATGTAACATATGCCAGGGATGCACAACACAAAGTGTGCAGGCCAGACAAAGCACAGCCAACTCTGACGGTTTCTATAAAATCACTGTTTTGGTTGGTACTTACACAAAATATTAAATTTGATGAAACATTTTAATTCGAATTTCATATATTTGAATTATTTCTCACTTTTATAAAACTTCTGAAATGAAAGACATACACTTGCATAAATGATATGAACTCCGTCCCAAGTGCAAACAATATATTATATGTCCTTGATCTTGCTCTCCTTTACACTACATGTTTCGGCCTGAAACAGCCATCATCAGGTGTATACACTCACGTTGCTCTTACACTGCACTTAGTTTAAAATTTAACATTTAAAAACACATTGTTCCTTTCGTTGTTATTATCAACATCTACTTCGTTGATATCTGTCTGGTTTATACATTATTTTTGTTACACAAGTTAGGACTTATAAAATCTTTAGTTCTAATTTTATAAGTCCTAACTTGTGTAACAAAAATAATGTATAAACCAGACAGATATCAACGAAGTAGATGTTGATAATAACAACGAAAGGAACAATGTGTTTTTAAATGTTAAATTTTAAACTAAGTGCAGTGTAACAGCAACGTGAGTGTATACACCTGATGATGGCCATTTGATCCCGAAACATGTAGTGTAAAGGAGAGCAAGATCAAGGACATATAATATATTGTTTGCACTTGGGACAGAGTTCATATCATTTATCGTATAGAGTGCAACAGGATGCTTAATATAATATTATACACTTGCATATTTTTAAGAGTTCTGTTTTCTGGAATACAATGCCAAGTAGCATGGTGACAGTCTACTGACGTTTCAGATGAACATACTGCCTATATCATCAGGGTCAAAGTGTAAGTGAAGCAAAAAATCAGCAAGCAGCAGGTATTACATTCCAGATGATACAACTCTTCACAGTCACACTGTGAGAACCTCAAATCAAGCATACCTGTACATTTCTTTTCCATTCATATTTCTGCATTTGACTGAATGGGGATGAGAAAGACCAACCATTTAATACAAATGGGTCACTTCTGGCCAACAAATACAATAAAAACATGTTAAGCACCCCTGACATAGGGAATTCTTATAACATCTTTAAGATGGGTGATAAATTAGCATGCTACCACAGAGAACATAATGTTCATGACCACCAACTTTCACAGTTTCATAATCTTAGAGTGTGTTTCTCCAACCATATCATCAAGCTGAAAATTAAGTTCAGAAACTAAATACCATTCCGTTTAAGTGCATGATTGATGACTGGACTTGCATACCCCATAACACAAACAGCTGGATTCAGTTTCTACTGTGGCCACTCAAGCAAGTAAGACTAGAAGTAATATGCTAGCTCTTTCAGTTAACTTCACTTCAAGACCAAATCTCTTTTGTCAGAAATTATATGAATATTATATTAATGTATGTTAAATTGTGTGCTGACAAAGAGGCATCTTAACACAGCTAATAGTGCATATTCAACTGTAAACACTGAAATGAATGAGTATGTCCCAGCTAAGTGTATCAAGTATCTTTTGTAACATATATAACTATAATATACTGTGTTTTATCCTGCAATAATTTCATAAGGTAAGGTGAAGTTGTCTTTGTGCTTACTTTATTAAGAACTATGCCATGGTGATGTATGGAGGAGTGGAGGTACAGTTACACTATTCTAGCCCTCATCACAGTGGAGGTGAGTAGTCAGCTTTATGCCCTGGCCGCTTTAACTCAAGGAAAGAGCCCCCAGTACCTATTGTATAGGAAGGTGGATGCTGTATAGAAGAGCAGAGCCTGTAGGCTGTCACTATACTAACTACAGAAACATATATATGTAAAAATATTATTGACAGGGAATTAAATATAACATTAAGTACACCACACAACATTGCAATAATATGTGCTGATATACTGCCATTGATGTTCGAGGTGATACAAAAAAGCCTACTTTTATAATTTCCTATGCTCTTCCAACACTTTTTAAGATTTCCAGTTCTACAAACTATATTATGAATAACTAAAGGATTGTATTTATGACACAATAATTGACAGTTGTGAATGATAATGCCAATGATCTGTAAGGGTTTCAAAGCTGTGGTACTTCAAATATCATTTGGTAAGATTATCTTTCATTTTAACATCATCATCATCAAAGAATTTTGGCACAGAAGAGGCAATGAAATTAGTATGTCTGGTTCACTTGCTGGAATGAATTCTGACTCTTAGCTAATTTTTACATGTCACCCTTCTCACCCTCTTAATATGAACTTATAAATTTTCTTGTAAACTACAGTATTGTAAAACCACATAATTAAAATTAGAGCTAAATCTCAGACATTAAATTGATGTTGATGACACTTGATGTTGACAAATTTATGCCCCTTTAATTCTTAAGTGAGTGTGTTATGGTTTTATATTATGACAATAACTTGACCTCGCTTAATCTATAAAAAAATTTGAATGTAGGGTTTTTTTGATTATTGCACTGTTGCAAGTGGAATGATGTATTGTTATGATTGATCTGTATGAAATCTGTAGGGAATTAAGTTTTATAGTATAGTTGACTCATGTACGATATGTATGTTATATTAATATGTAGTTACTGACTTGTTCTATCTCTAAATATGGATTCTTGGAACAAATAAATTGATTGATTGATGTTCAATTGCATCGAAGTCTATCAGGGTGTGAAACTTATCAGTTTATGTACTACACCTGTGGATATTTTAATCACATCTGAGTTCAATGTGACAAATTACTAATTATTCAACAACAAAAAAACTTAATAATCACCAAAAATCCATTGTTTGCTCTCACTTTCATACACTTCAATAAAACACATCCCATAATCCATCTGAGAAGTCTCATGCATTACCAGCAACTGAGCTAGCTAATCTACATCCCTTCCTGAGCTAAGCTGAGACAATACAGAGACATATGCACAGTACCACCACTTTTGAACTCACTTCTTGAATCCTAATAATCATCATAAGGTCTCTCAGTCAGCAAAATAATGCAATTTATTCAAGATGCAGGCCTGCTGATATGCTAAATGATGGGGACAGTGGAAGGGACCCCTTTCTAGTCTATTCTGTTCTATTATTATCTGGTTCCTCCTAAAGGTAACATAAGACTAGTAAATCACCACAACTCTGTAATCTGGCCTATAAAGCAGTGGAAGTGGAAGGATCTATTTCTTGAATACCCAGGATGTCATTACATACCTTATGGTTACAAGGCTGAAGAACAAAAAAGTATCCCAGTTCATAATATTTATGACAAATGGGTGTACAGAGGTCTTTCTCATAGTACTGATGAACTTCTTTCTGACAAGACCCACCTCATTTTAAAGAAGTCCATGTAAACAGAAGGCAAAAATATGAAGATGTGAAATTTTCCTATGGACTTTGAATAATATATGGCACTAATGTATTGTTATAGTCTGTATTGGGTGTTCCTCAGTACAGATGTGTTACACAGAAGGGGTATAAATGTAACATTCATTTCAAGATGGGCATAAAAGACATTTACATTGCAACTGTTGTCAGGCTCATCCAACTGGTGACCTAAGGGGAACAATACTACACAACAGACAAAACTTGG